GTTCAGCATATTTCATTGCTGCAGAGTGGAAATGAGAAAGGCTGTTAGAGATCTGTCCGCCAAATCGTACGCCAGCAGACTGTTGGCTATGGGGTTTTCTGAAGTATTGCGTGTACTGAGGACCCCACACACGATTCCAGACCTCAAATATGCCATTCTACGGGCGTTAGCCAGCACATAGATTATGCGACGTGCCGCTGACACGTCTGCTATCCTTTGAATGCAATGCATAATGGATGATGGAGGAGCACACATTGAACACAACTGATTTTCGTAAATGGACAAAAGGCCCACTTAAGAAAATCCACTTTGGTTTAAAACACATACCATGTACAGCATTGGCTTTCCCGTGGCCCCTGCAACATACGTTTTAATTGCGTTGAACCTGTGTATTGCCGTTTACGAGATATATGGGGGTGAACAAGGGAACTTTCTTATTAATGACCCAGTATATTTGTAAAAAACATATTAACATGCGTAGAAGGATCTCGCTTCCCACCCATACAGATTTATGACCGTATATTGAAGCTACCAGTGAACCTTCTTTGGATACTTGAAATAATGTCACTAGTATTTGGTCACTCATTGACGCAGACACTTGCGATAAGGAACTCTTCAACACTATAGTAACGTATATCGGCCATTCTTCTTTCACTGACCCGCAAAATTTACAACTTTTCTCTGCGTTATGGTTAAAGAGGCAGAGTTGTTCACCCCGTAAAATGTCCTGCCGCGGCCATAAATATATCTACCGTGTATCACCTCAACGGAACTTGTAATCTTTTCTGACGAATATACTTTTTCTTAAATTCAGGGTTTGATGAAACCTCCACTAGAGCAGTGAACATCTAAACTCAAAATGAGTGCGAAGTGATAATGTGGAAAGCTAGTTGTTCATTGGATAGTCTGATGGCAAGAGAGTGGCAGGGGCACTTTTTAATTGGCGTGTGACTGCCTTGCATTCCCTATTGGCATGTCCTGTTCAATTTTATATATAAAGTCTCTTAAATGTATTGTATATATGGTTCACCATTACGCGTGGCAACAATTCCCGAAACTTTAAGATTCAAGATTCAAGATACAGTAGTTATTCATATCAAGAGGCGATTTCACCCATTTCGATATCACTTATCAAGGTCGAGCGTTCCTTAATTTAGGGTACGCCTAACCCTCTTCAAGCTAAATGTTTCTGTATTTTTTATTTTTTTTGTTATTTGACTATCCTAGTTGCTTACTGTCTAGTACCTAACGTCAACATTGCCCCCCCACCTTTTTGCCTGTCCATGAAAACATATAGTTTCTTCTTAAAACGTCAACATTGCCCCCCACCTTTTTGCCTGTCCATGAAAACATCTAGTTTCTTCTTAAGATAGTCACAGAAGGGACAGCCACTACTTCGTCATTAATGCATTCCACGCGTTCACCACTCTGCAAGTAAAGAATTCCTGTCTCGACCTGAGCCGAGAGTTGCCGAGAGTCTAAGTTGCCGAGAGTCTAAGTTGCGTAAACCTGCGGTTTACGCAACTTAAGTTGGTTACCTCTCGTTCTCTTGCTGCCATCAAACTGGAAAAACCTACTACACTCGACATTATCTTTCCTTTAATTATCTTCAAAGCCTGGATGAGATCGCCCCTCCTTAGCCTTCGTTCCAGCGAGTACAGTCCCAACACTTATAAATGCTTGGATGAGAAAACTGGATGCAATATTCCAACTGGGGTCTTATCAGCGCCGCATACAACGGAAGAATAACACCAGATGCCCTACTTGCAACCGACCGACGAATGTAACCTAGAATACTGTTGCATTTGTCCACCGTCGCTTGCGCGTGCGAGGAAAACCTGAGGTCCTCATCGATAGAAACTTCCAGTTTAACCCGCAACCTCTTGAGAGGAACGGTATTGAAAGGTTTTGCGAAATCTAAATAGACGATGTCCACGGGATTCCCCTTCTCCCTCTCTTCCGTCGCCCAGTCGTAGAATTCGAGCAAATCGGTGAGACAATTTCGATTTTCGAGGAAATCCAAGAGATGGTCCCATTAGTATGCTTTCCATGATCTTCCCTGGGATACTCGTGAGACTTACCGGCCTGTAATTTCCTGGATTTCTCTTTTCGCCCTTCTTACAGATCGGTACGACGTTTGCTAGTCTCCAGTCCTTAGGTACTTCCCGCGCGAAAAGCTGCTTTTGAATATAATTCTTAGCGGAACCGATATTTCTCTCGCGGTTTCCATAGTGACTCTCGCAGTAATCCCATCGGGGCCGGTCGCCTTGCCCACCTTTAACTTCCCTATCATGTTCACGATCGTCTCCTCGGTGATGGAAATATCCTTGATGCGCGCCGAAGTCACCTCCTCTAAAGTCAGTGCCGAGTCGGATTCTACAGTGAAAACGGAAGCGAAGAACTCGTTAAAATATACTGGCCATATCCTTATCACTTGCAATCGGCTCCCCCTTTTTCGTCCATTAGAGGCCCGATCGACTGTTGACACTTACCACTAGCATACCGATAAAAAGCCTTAGGGTTCTTCTTAGCATCGCTAACCAGCCGTTCCTCGACCTCCCGTCTCGCAGATTTAATTTCCTGCTTCAACGTCCGCGTGCTCCTCCTATATCACTCACAGTCCGTGGTATCTCCCGTCCGCTTGTAAGCATACCATTTCCTCTTTTTATCCCTGATAAGAGCTTTGATTTTACTCGTAAACCAGACGGGTTGCCTGCCCGATTTCATGGATTTATTGGGGATGCATTCCTCCATAAAGCCTTGCAATAACGTCTTGAACGCCCCCCATTGTTCCTCTACCGTCAGTCCACGGAGCCGCACCTCCCAGTTGATGCCTAAAACGCATTCGCGTAGAAACACTTAACTCTTCTCTGCCTTTCCTGGACACCATTACGCGGCCGTCTAAAGCTGCTCGTAGTGGCTGTACCTTGCTTGTGACCCCTTCCCCCCCCCCCCCCCATCTACAACCCTAGAAAAGGCTTCTTTTCCTTCACGATCGCCAATCCGACTGCTACAGCTCCCTCTATCAAAAAACGTACTCCATCCCTAGCCATCGGACTTCTACAGCGACTCATAGCTTTCCTAGTGTCCAGAAGCACTGCCCCCTCCGCGATACATAACTCCTTCAACCTGTCGTTAACACCTTCTGACCTGGACCACGTGATTCCTCCCTTGCCTAGCCTGCTCGCGATCGCGCATACTGTCACCCGCACCCCCGACCTAGCCTCCTGACACGCCATAATAGCCTACCTCAGCCTGCCCATGATGAGTTCAGAGCCAGACTTTGAGAGTATCGTTGGTCCCTATGTGAAGGACCACCGACACTTCCTCGGCCGACTCGGAGCACACCACCGATACTATCCTATCCCTAATGTGTTCAATCCTAGCATCGAGAAACTGAAAGAAACCTGAGCACCTGAATCTTTTCCCATCGCTCCCTCAAGACGCCTGACGTTCGACTCACCGACGATTACAAGAGCCCGAGTTTTCCCTCTCCCTTTCAACACGGCCTGATCTTGTCCAGCCAGCCTCACACTTGTTCCCACCCCGCCCTTCGTTCCATCATCCAGGCTGACCTCCCTCAACCAGAGAAACTTGTTTTCGGTCTTAATGGCTGCCTCCTGGGATCGCTTAACCTTCGCCCCCTTTACGACCTGAGCCCAATTACTAGCCACCTGGGAGTCGGCACTCGACGTGCTGTCAAAGGACGAAAGGGCCACCCTCCCAGTAAAGTCCGGAAGGCTGAGGAACCCCCGGAGTGCCTCCTCCACACTAACTAGCCTCGCCACTAAATTATTCCTGTGTACCTCGCCCACCTCCTTCCTGATCCCTTTTATCTCCTCCTCCACGCTAATGAGCCTTCCCGATCGCTCCCCTAGTCGCTCCTCCAAGCTACAAACTCTGCATACCTGGCATGCCTCTCGTTCATTAGTCCCACCTACCCAATCCCCGCAACGAACGCATCTACACATCCTAGGCATCTTATTTACTTAATGNCGATAGCTCCCCTAGTCGCTCCTCCAAGCTACAGACTCTGCATACCTGGCATACCTCTCGTTCACTAGTCCCACCTACCCAATCCCCGCAACGAACGCATCTACACATCCTAGGCATCTTACTTAATGTTATTGATCCCTATTGACACTCCTACTGCTTTAGACTTATACTTTGCAGTACTTCACACTAGTTGTAACCCGGTAAGACTGTACTGTCCTAGTCCTTGTAGTAAAAGGAATACTACGAGTAATGCGCTAATAATTAAAGTAATTAAGCTGATTGATACTGATCTAATGTAAAGTTGGAGGTAGCTGGAAACTTATGAATACTGCTGCAAAGTAGCCAGGTAACAACTAACTCGCGACTTAGCTGACAGAACCTCGAGAGTATCCTCCAACACGTCCTCACACTACGAACACTCGACCAAGACTGACTAGTATTCTAGTATACACTAGTCTACACTAGTATTCAAATTACATAGTGTTTATGGAGTATTGTATGTACTAAGTAGAGCCAGTCTCTGTTTAATTGGGAATAAACTGGAATAGACTGGCTCTGTTTTATCAGGAATGATCGATGCTGTATGATTTGACAAAGTGACCCTGTGAAGTTCACAGGTGACATCATGTAGTGCATAAGTAGAACATGTTATAACAGGCAAGTGGATAGTGGAGCAAGGAGAAAGAACAGTGGTTAAGTATAAAGGAAAAAAGAGTCAAGGGAATGAAAAATGTCAATTTTTTTTTTTAGACTTTTATTTATCAACATTGGAGGACAAAAAAGGAAAGTATGGATTTTAAAACTAAAGCAGAGAGTTCCTCTCATCCAGAAAAGTGAAAGTGGCATTCACATTGAGTTCTCTTAAATGAATTTCAATGCAGCAAAGCCCAAATTCAAGCCACCCTCATCAAGAAAGACTGCAATTTGAAAGAATGGGATGAAAATGGCAATCACATAAGCAAATAAACTCTAAGGTTTTAGAATGACCATTTTCATTTGGAACCATGAGTAGTCAGCTCAAATGGGTTTCACTCTATGTATGAGTGGCAGAAGATTGAAGAAGCAAGTCTTTAGAAACTTTCATGGTTGAAATGCCAGCCAGTGATCTGTCAAGATCTGTTCATGTTCCCAGATTTGAAGAAGCTGAAAGGGAAAGCTGTTACTTATGAAAAGGAGGAGGAAGGGATGGAAGGAATGAAGAAGAAACAGAAGTCAAGCCCCTTGACTGGAGGGAAGAAGGAAGAAGAAGGAGAGGCTTATCGCCAGCTTTGCCGTCTCTGCAGTCAGATTGACCAACTTATGGACAGAGCTTCAAAGGTCAAGCAAGAGGTGAGCTGCAAAGAGTCCTACATATCATGTCAGGTCTGGATCTACTTTGTGTCTCATAAAAAAGAGGAGTATCTCTTTCCAGTATCATGTGAGGTTCTTGCTTTTTTTGCACATGCCTTTTCAGGTGAATAAGAAAGATTAATGCCAAGTGGAAAAGAATATCATCCAGTGCTTCAAATGCAATAACTTATAGCGAGTTTGCCCAATTGACAAACTCCCTAGTAAATTATGTTCATCATTTGATTATTTTATTTTGATTATTCCTCAACTGAGAACCAACTCTTTGACAGTCTTGATATTTTCCAATATTTGGGTTCTTTGTGACCTGCCACTTCCCCATTTTCTGCCTATACAGTTTCAGAAAATTGTTTAAATAACTTATCAAGGCCATGATGAGACCTTTCTTCCCAAAAAGAATTTCTTCATGAACTGGTAAGAGTTGTACATCTCTCACAAGCCTTTGATCAGGTGCTTGTCCTCTTCACTGAATCTTATCAAGTTCTTCATAATTTTGAATACTTTGATAAATAACATGAGAAAAATGGAAGAATTGAGAATTAGGCCTTAGACCTACAGAAAATGATGATCATAATGTAAAAAATGCAACTTGAACCCAAAGTAACTGTGAGGATAAGAAGTATTAAAAAAAAAAAACAGTTTCTCCACTGAAATTGCCTCCTGCCTGTGCTCAGTCTTGTTGGAGTGTGCCAAAGGGATGTACCTTGGGAGAAACAGGAGGCAGATTGGTTGTTAAATCTAAAATTAAAAAAAAATTTTGATACTTAAATTTTAAAAAGTTGTTGCACTTGAATCACTGATTGAGATTTTCTTAAACTCTGCAGAAATCTTTATTATTCATCTGAGATTTCATATGCTGAAAAATGTGAGACTCGTGTGAAAATGGGATGGAGATATTTAAAAAAAAGTAAAGTCTTCCCCTTTCTTTGAGACAGTGTAGATTTAATTCTAAGTCACTTATGTTCATTCATTAGCTTGTGCATGCTTTCATATTGAAAGTATTGAATGTATCCTTTAACTGAAAGCCTTCTCTCTTGCTCATGCTCAGTGTTCATGATGGCAGCTTCACAAATAAAACAAAAAATCGTAACTTGACACTAGTGACATATATGAAAGAACTCTTTACTTTGAAATACTTGTATAATCCTCAAGTTTTAAGACTTAAACCTCAATATGACCTCCCCTCTTTTCTATATATGTTCTTATACACAGCAACAAGTTATGCATCACTTTCTGAAGGGTGTCTTGCTTAACTCCCAATAATCTGAATAACCGCATCTTTCAAATCAGCATTTGTGGTTGACTACAACTGGAACACTCTCTCTTTGACTAGTCCCTGTAAAAAATAATCCAGTGGTGCAAAGTCAGGGGATCTGGGAGGCTGCGGGAATTTAGTTTTGTGACTGTTTCAATTCATTCAGTGACTCTGTTTCAATGTACATGTCATAAATAAAGATGCACTGCTCAATGTTAAATTGCTCAATGATTTTTCATACCTGCAGCAAAATAAACTTTGACTCACGGGCAATTTAGGGAAATTTGAAATTTATTCGCAACCATATTACTAAGAAAATTTCCACATAATCAAATGTTGTCCTTTTCTATGGCCCACCCTATACGTCCCAATATGATTCAGTCACATGGTCATTGCCATGTGTTCTACACAGTCCTGTGTGCACCATGCAAAAGTCATTTAATGCAAGCAAAAGGTATACAGGATGTTCCATGAGTGAGTTATAGTTGAGGCATGGTATGGACCAATATATCAGGGTTATCCAATAGATAATGTTATTTGCATATATTTGGGAAGATGACTTATTTGTTAAGAAACAATGTTCACTACAGAAAGTGAAAACCTTTAAAATCTAATTAAGCTTAGTCTCAGCTTTCATTTGGGGCCAACATTTTTTTTCCTGGCTCAACTAGTGCCAAAGGTAGCTGTCTGACCATTGAGGTGACTTTTCCCACTCTGGGCAAACTTTGAGGCTCACTATCTTCTAAACCATTTGGACTAGCACTCTGAAATTTGGAATGCCTTCACATCTCAGAGAAGTCATCATGCATTCATTTTGTCAAATAAATCCCAGTCGCACACACAACCAGAATTTTGATAACTTGAGCCAGAATACCTCATATGTGGTATCATCAGTGGTATCGGTAACATCAACCAACATCTTTAACATCACTGCAGTAGTCAATATTTATAACCTCTTCCATCAGTTCTGGTTCCTTGCCCTCAAGTGTCAGCTCCTTCTAAATCCAAAGGAATGAATTAGAAAGAAATGTTCTACTTCCTAATACTTATTCATATTTGTTTCATGATAGCATTTGGAACAGTTGGGATATCTTATGAGGTTTTTAAGTCCTGCAGTAGTTGTCAGATACCCTGCTTTGGAACAGCTAAGTACAGACTCATACACATGCAACCTTGACTCTTCAGGCCTGGTGGGATCAGATTCTCACATCCCAAGTAATTCTTGAGAGGATTACTTTAGATTTAATTTATCAAAGGAACTTCAATGCATTTAAACAAAGTAAGAGCCTAGGAGGAAAAAATTCAAGAGGAGTTTCAGCCAAATTCACTGAATGAGCTGTGGTAATTCATGCACTTTGCAGCTTCGAAAAACTTCATGATGGCATTTATGCAAATGCAATCTAATGCATAAATCTGCAAAAACCAAAACCAGGGCCAGGCCCAATAAGGCAGAAATTGGCCTGATTCTGCAGCCCAGGGAAAACAAAGTTTCAGATATTGTGTAAGAATAGAGGTGAAGGTATTCATGAAAAAACTTCAGTGTCAAAATATGAACCTTTTATGGCAATATTATTTTTCAATATATACATCATTTACAATTTTGGAACCAAACCATATTAAGTTAAAACAATCAAGCTTTCACTACTCATAACTTCCACTAATGTTACTGACTGGATTTGATGATATTGATTTTGTGGGGGAAAAATAGGACTTTTTTTAGAATCATTTTATTTAAAGAAAGTCAGGTGTCCTTTAATATTTTGATGGTCTTACTACTATACAGAGTGCTTCCATAATAGACAATTATGTCAGGCAAGCCATTGAGTTGAAGTGAAACAAATTCCTAAGAAAAGACTTCATGCTCAAATAAAATCCTTTAATTTTGCCTTGCCAAGGCTGGATTGTCTTATTGCAACTTGCACATCACTATGCCAATTCTGCTTTATTTTCATGCAGGCTGCCACATTGGATGATCATTTCATAAGCCAGATTCCTGTCCTCAAAGAGAAAATACAGAATCATTTAAAAATTGCCTCAAAGGGACAACAAATCAATGGTGAGTGCCAACTTCATCTCCAACCATCCATCTCCAATTGCTAGATGTTAGTCATGATTTGGAATATTATTTTGAATTTTAAGGAATTTTTTTAAATTTACATGTTACTTCATGTACATAATGTGCCACCAAGTACATGCACTGTGCTTCAAAGGGATAGGTGCTTCAAGAGGGCAGGAGGGAGGAACCACATGAATGCATCTCGAGGAACTTTGTATTACTCGTAGATGAGAATATGTTACCCATTTGTATTACTCATAGATGGGAATATGTTACCCATCAGTTAATTGCATCTAAATAGCCCCCTGTAAGATTACTTACAGTTGCATTGGCTCCCTTTTTTCCTTTTTTTTTTCTATGAAGGAATCAAACCTCATATAAAAGTTCATATAAAAGTTCAAAGTCCACTTCACCTTCACATTGTTCTTACCATACTGAACAAGTAAAAAGAGTGAATTCTTGCAACTTGAAAGCTTCACTTGAGGCTAACCGCTAGAAATGGTTTCCCCTTGTTTTGCTGTTACCATCAAGTTGGAAAAACATATTACACTGCACACATATCTCTCAATGATCTCAATTGCACCAATGAGAACCACCCCTCATTAACCTTATTTTCTGGGGTAATATCATTGCTTGTCAAATTCACACCTAGGAAGTTTAACTTGAAGTAGTCTTAGGAGCTTTCTTTAGTGTTTTTTGGATGGGTGAAACCACATAGTTACACTGTCCAAGTGTCACCTGTCTGAAACCCATGTAAACAGGCACCTCAAAACCATTGAACTCTCCCATCACTTGATCTCACTGCTTCATGTGTATTCCTCTGGGTGTGCAAACCATGCCATGTTAATGTTCACTGGCATAAGAAAAAGTGGGAGAATAAGTAATGAAATCTTAGTGCTGGCATCTCTATTGCAGAAAGCATAATATCCACATACCAGGTTACCCAAAAAAAAGTTCTGAACTTTACATGCTTGCAGACGGAATATCATATGAGCTATTGACAGGAAATTTGCAGGATTTCACATCCAATATGTGCTGGTAATGTCACAAAAATTTCTTACTTTTCTTTAAGTACTTCTTTAAGTACTCTTGCATGCATTTGGCACAATTTTTTTCCTTGAATATAATGCACTCACCCTCATTAGCATTCTGAAACAATTTTTTTAGAAAGGCAAGCACCTTTATACTAAGTAAGTAAAGAATACAGGAAAACCTTGTTAATTCAAAATCCAAGGGACCAAAAAATTCTGACTTTGAAATAAGCAGGTTTGATTTATCCAGTTTGGCCACCATTATTTTGTAATACTGTACTATTCAGCCCACAAGCCCCTCAACTGTAATTTTAAATTTCATGCGTAATAAAGGAAAGATCTGGTTTTCAATAATTTTTGTATTTGCACAGCTGCAATTATGTATAAAAAATTGCCAACAATAATTAACACTATGTTAATGAGTGATTTAATATTCTTATTCTTATTCTTTGACTAAGAATAAGAATAAGAATTTTAACAACTCGTACTTCCTCTTGTTCGCCATGGCACATTCATCCCTGTTTCACTCACAACACACACACAGAGAGAGAGAGAGAGAGAGAGACAGTACTGCCATAATGCAAATTTTTTTTACAGAAGGTCATATAAGGTGTGAATGAGATAGGTAGAGGGGGAGATTTAGAGAAAGGGGGCATTATTCTACATTTAGAATTCTCCTGAATAGAAAAATGAAGTTTCCAAGGCAATTAGCTGGCTTCACAGTCATTTAGAGTGCAAGGTTTGAGACAGGTCATCTGTAGGCTGTAGGGAAAAGTGCCCTTCAAAGTAAACAAACACCTTTCTGAGTTTAAAGCTCGGGACCAGAAAATGCCTTTGAATTTCATATCTGTATTTTGAATTATCCATACTATAAAGCATACAAATCGCTATCCTCTTGGACAGGGAAAGTAGATGACTTCAAAGTATCCAATACTTCAAACTATCTGATATTGAATTAATGAAGTTTCCCTGTAGCTGCTCCTACCACCAGGACTCATCCATACTGAGCCAATTTGCACACATTCCAGGCATCATGACCAATAATTGCAGTAATTTGGTTAGTGAATGTCGTTCAATATGACATTTTGATTTGTAGCTGGTAGGGTGCATGCTGGGTAAGGGTGGATTATTCTGAAAATGTTATCGATATTCTTCTTGTTTGATCCTGCTGTTGATTTTTCATAACATGCTCAGATTGCTCCAGGTAAGTAAGTATGAAAATAAGGTTGGTTGTAGCAGAGAAAAGGAAGTTCTGGTTTGTTACAGAGCAGTTGGTGTATTACTTGACCAAAGAGGTGGCAGAATTTGAGAAGGAATTGCAAAATGTGACTGCAATTCACCATCAACATTCCCTGATGAAAGAATTCTTTCCTGAGGTATGCGACCCATCAGTACTTTTGTATAATACACTGTGGTACAGTAGTATAATCCACTTTGATATAAAAAATGTGAGGTAAACTCTTGCAAGCTGAATTTAATTTCGATTTGAACCAGGTAAATCTAACGAAGAACTCTACAAAGGAAAAGGAGGGAAGTGAGAAGGAAGCAGTCCTTAAAAACCCATCTGGGGGTCTACGGGTATGTGCATCTTGTGCCCAACCAGAACCAAAGCCCAAGACCTTCAAAAAGTGTGGTGCATGCAAGGCAGAGAATGTCCCTCATCCAAACTATTACTGTGGACGGAAATGTCAATGTAAGCATTTTCTGTGTCATTTTACTTCCTAAGATTACAACCAAGCACCTAATATCAAAGTTGTGCTACAGTAGGGAAAAAGAGAACATGAGAAAAAAAAGACTAATTGCAGAGTGTCCCATAATTCCCTTGAAGAGCAAAATGCTTTTTTGAGACATTCACAATTATGTTCAGGACTAACTTAACACTTTTTGCAATGATTCTTTTGAGTGTGGTGCTGACTTCAGCTTTGATCTTCATCTCTAATTCCTACATGTTCATCAGTTTCCTTCCATATATACTTCTCTTGGGCATTCTCTAGACCAGCGCTCTGTAAAAAGTTTTTTTACCCAAGGGAAACAACCATCAAAGGTCCAGGAGGAACTAGCACTAGTACCAGAAGGTCCATAAATGCAGTGAGTGGTTTCGGGTTGAGCAGATGTGGCGACCATCCATGACCTGGCCAGGCTAAACATACACTAACTGGATTCATTGTGGTGAGGAATTCATCAGAGATAATTTCCTGGCCTCCACATTGAACATCAGCATCATCTCAGTCCATAACATTGTCGATAAAGAGCTGGGGGTTGGCACTTGAAGTCAGATGACCAGATCAAAGCAACTGCCCTGTAGTGACTTCAACATCAACCTAATATTTTTGATGCTATGGGAATTCAGAACCTCAAAGTACAATGGGACAAGTGCCAATATGTTCATGGAGATTGTGTTGAAAATTACTTATATTGTATCCCATTCCATACGCATTCATTTCACGTGTGTCCAGCATTGTAACCTTTTCATTTGAACAGCCCTTATACATTAGCTGGCAAAGCATTTTTCCTGTTTTAACCATGAGGCCATATGACCTGCCTGCTGGACATGGGACAACTAATGTAAAAGCATACAGGCACATTTAATCTGTAACTAGATGTGATGGATTCAGGGTTAGCCATGCAACCCACCAATGGGAATTTTTGAGCCACAGTATTTTATTATTCCAAATATGGCTTGAGTGAGAAACAGTGCCTTACCTGAATTACCAAAGGAATATACCATCTTCAAGTTGTTTGTAGAGTTCTATTGTGGGTGAGTAAATATTGCAGATGAACCTTTCTCTGGCCAACCACCTTCACCTCTGGACTTTGTGGACCTCATCATGCCCTTCGAAGTGAACCTTAGGTATGCATCACTGCTATTGTGGCACATATGATGCAATGTATAATATACATTGCTGCTCCTCAAGAGGTTAAGCTGCATGATATAATTCCTATATAATTAAATATTCATCACTGGGAAGAGTGGCAGTTTCATCCACAGAACCCTTTTTTGACAGGACATATGGCTGGCACACAACAATGGATGTATTACAATACCCAGAGGAACAGGGTGCCTGCATGGCTCAGGCATCACACCCAAATCACAATCCCTATGCCCTGTAAAGAGACTTTCAGGGCAGCTCACAGGTTGCCTATGCCATGACTGGCACAAGTGATTTTTAAGGTGTACTGCACCTGTATCTCCTAGACGAGACTTGCACAGTGGCATGTATGTTACCTCACTCTGAGAAGACCCTCCCCATGTAAGCAGGTGGCTCATTGTAAGCAGAAGATGAGCATGCTGTCTACCAAACTTGACCCCTCAGCTTCTGTGTTTCACTTGGAGACCAGAACCACTCAGCCACCAAATCCAGTCTCATCCACAGAATTTACCTTACAGTCTTAGTGGTTTTCCCCAGGAATGGATTTGGTGCTTTTTTCTGCATGGGGATCAAGTACAAAAATCTCACTGGGCATTGTCATATTTTTTTATCTATCAATACATTAAATGTGACAGTGCCAATAGTAGGATTGTAGTCATACTTGAGACTTACACTCTGGTTCATCCACACATTCACAATTTAAACTTGTTTGCACCATGCAGCAATATGGAAAAAAAAACTAAGAATTTCCCTTCTGTCGTAAAAGGTGCAGCAAACTTCATCATCAGCCATTTTCTATCCCCTTCTGGACAAAGGCCTCTATGCATATGATATATCAGCCTGTCCCGAGTTCCTCCTATTCACTTAACTACGTAAAAATGTGATCACTCCATTTTTTCTTTCTTCCCTTTGAACGTATCCACAACAAACTTGGCCTGAATAGAACTCTCTATGGAGGCTTTGTTTTCTTAATTTCATTCCTGTAGGATGTCGATAGTGCATTGAAACAACACTTTGCATATGCAGATATTTCTGATTTTTACAAGCCTCCAAGTGTATTGCATCCTGCTCAGTGACTATTTGTCTGGTTTAGCATCGGTATTATCCAAGATAAAGGGCTAAACGAAAGAGAAGCCTGATCTACTGCAAGGTCCTCAGATACTTTTACACTGTTGGAATATAAGTAGCTGGCGCCTGACAACTTTGACAAAGTTTTCATTCATTGTTTGCAGAGCTGACAAATGCTCTAAGTTTTTCATGTTGGGCTCACTTCAGCTGTCATATTCTTTCAAAGTCATCTCTAACCCCTTGAACCACATAATCCTGAATCACTTTTCCTCATCTAACAATAAGCTCTTGCCCATGCCCTTAGGGCAGTGCCTCTCAACCTTTTCGATCCTGCGGCCTACCTTAACTGCAAAGTGATTCGAGGCCCACTACAGACTTAAAAGTTATATACTTTTTTTTCTATCTAACTTTTAAATTGTTATTGCTAAATTTATGGATACTTGTCACGGCCCACCCGCGGCACTTCCGCGCCCCACTGGTTGAGAACCATTGCCTCAATGTACCTCCGTTGATTAGATGAACTTATCCACTTTGAAAAATCTCTACTTTCTTTCTTTCTCGCACTGAAGTGGAGGACTGGGAAAGGCGACACCATCTGGACCATGAAGACTGAAGTACCACCCATTCAAGAGGCCTGTTTTTTTTATTCATACCACCTGTGCCATTCTTCTCGTGTTTGGAGAGAGAGATATGGCGTTGTGTTCGGGAGGGGGGGAAAAAAAGTCGTGAAGAAACAAAATCGTTGTATTTCATTCACTCAGTGACTTTCTGAATTCGGGGATTATATACGTTTAGGATCTTGGCTCTGGGAGGCTGTCAACACCAGCAAAAGATTAAACGTTGCGACTGTTCTGCACTGCTGAAGGTAGATCATCGGTTGTCTTATCGCGATTATCTTACGTTTCAGCAACGTGATGAACCGTCAGTCGACAATTTTACCTTTAACATTTTGTTACCTCGAAAGTTATTTTCCCGTTAGGAGCAGAGGACTAAAATGAAGTTGTAGAAAGTATATTCTTTCTATTAGCTAGAGAACGTTGCGCTAGTCTGTTGCATGTATCCAGGTGAAGGTCCAAAGCACTCCGAATTGTCTTTTGAGGAAGGAACGATTTTGATGCACTTCGATTCTTCGTCGTTAGCACATATACAGGTAAATGAAATGGAGCAGTTCGTAGTCGTGCCGACAAGATTACTAGGAAACAACTAAGTCTTATTTAAAGTGATTATTTGCAAAAGTCATGCATATTGCAGATATGGTAGATGTGACCATGAAAAGAGCCAAAAGGAGATGCAACCGAGGAGAAAGAGGATTGGATCGTCTGGAACATCCGCCGCATGACTGTGCATGTGCTTACTCAGGAAGTCGGATGTGGTTATAATACTAGTCCATCCAGACTATAATCGACAAACTGAGATGACCATGTTTGACTTCCTGAGCAAGCACACGCGGCGATGTCCCGGATGATCCCATCCACGCTTCTACATGGTTGCATCTGTGACGACGGAGGCCGGACGTCCACCGCCTGCCTCGTCCATCGAGCCTGTTCTCCATATCCTTCAATCGCTTCCCTCACCTCTGCAAATACCTGTGTGTAGAGGACTCGTCATACGTAGCCTGGAGGCGACGGTGGATTTCACCAGCTGACGTTCCTTCTTTGGTGAGGAACTCAAATACTGCACTTGTCTATCCACGGTATCCGTGGGTACCTAATCTCTCTATTAGCATCAATACCTGGAAATAGACACAAAGGATTATCGTTATATCATAGGATATTGTAGATCAGTGCTATGGGTGTTAATCGGCACTTACACTTACTCTGGAGGCAGGAAGTCATGACAGCATAGCTTCCCAATTAACAAAGTCTTACAAATTCTGATCAACCCATTCATGCATCTGTACCCAGTCGGCACAGTCAACGTTGAGAAAAGGTTGAAACGTTGAGACTTAGTTAAAGTTAAGAATTCGACGAAGATTTGACATCAATGAAATGCTGGCTATTCGTAATTAACGGTATTTGCAGCATATTGTGACTTCTCGTGGATTAGTGAAATCGTTTAGTGGCTATTAAGCGCAAATTCGTTTTCCATCATATATGATGAAATACCGGTCATGTGACAGCTCATACAGTTATACCATGCATTGGCCGTGTGTCACCCAGCAGCGGCGTAGCGTCGGGGGGACCAGAGGGACAAGTGCCCCCCCCCATTTTATTCACCATCGCGAAGAAAATATACGAAGTACGCGTGATTCTTCTCGTCAGCACATTCTATGCGGTCTCCGACCTCGCAATTCCGAAGACAGGTGCATTGCCTCTCGCCGTCATTGATCGATTTCGGTCGATCGACCGATTCCCAGTCGTCAAAGGAGCAGAACAGGAGACGTGAGATGAAAGGAATAAAGTAGTAGTAGAGAAATTCTCGCCGGGGGACGCTGGAGTCGGCACGGGAGGAAAGGTAGAAGAGAGCCAGTGCACATCCTGCCTTATCCTCTTCGTCGTATTTCAACCGATATGCGATCTATCGTTTAGTCCGTTCTTCATCGGGTTTTTCTGTGTTCTCGCCCGACCACGAACACTTCTTTTTTTCTCTTCTTAAAAATGTAAAAGCAGCGTAGATCGGGCCCACTGTACGCTACTTGGGCAATAAATCTCATTCCAGTTCTCTCGTGCCAAAAACAAATATTGCATTTTCTTCCAGAACATCGCTAACAATTTTGTATGCCCTAGTCTGGACTAATGTCGTCGAGTCGTGAAGCGTTCACAGCCGAATAAGCATATCTCGAATAAAAAGAACATAACGTAGCATCTTCCGAAATATCTGTATCTGCAACCTTATAAACATGCATCTGCACTGTCAAATATGGGGACGGACAAAAATTGTCGTTAAAAATTCAAGTTTGGTTTGAAAGGCTACAAGTCTCTTCCCCTGAAAAGAATGTTCCATAACAGCTCCGGGGAATGGTCTAAAATGTGTGCATCGAATCCACTCCATAGCGGAAAACACAGTAGAAAGCTCCCTGTTTCGATCCGCAATCGCTTTAACTCCTTAAGTCAGTGGTTCTCAAACTTTTTATGCTGCACCCCCTTGCGACCCTAGCTCGGCGTCGTGCCCCTTCTCCCTCTGAGAGGAGTACCTAGAAATTGAGATCCCAAAGATACTTTTTCATACGATGATTGGAAAAATATGAAACGGATTGCTACGGTTAAGGGAATGGGTCACACCTAGGAATCGGATGATCATTCACCTAATTATATGAGAACGACGCTTAAATATGATCGGTTCTAGACTGGAAGGTAGCAATAACGGTAGCAATTTTTCAACATCGAAACGACACCGAATTTTCGCACTGTTAAGTGAGGCATGTAGGAGGAGAATTTTCAAGGACCTGACAGAGGAATGTCTTTTGAATTTTTTTATCTGCCCGGGGAACCCAGCACTTCTCCATCTTTGAGTTTCTTCAAGTAATTAAACGATTTAGACAGAACGAGTGCACGCTACATTAATCGAATATTCAAGTTACAGCCCAAAGAGACGCATGATCCATTTGTCATCTTCATTCGAATCATTTGGGATTCGCCAATGGAAATAAACACCCGTTGGAAGGAAAAAAAAATCGAATTTAAAAGTCAGCCCTCTGAAATAGCTTTAATTTAGTCTTTTTATCCTGGAGAAAGAGCAAGAAAGACCGGAAGGTATGTAACCTTTTTCCTGTAAATAAAAAATATGTTATCCCATATGAGACAGTTTTTGAAATTCCATAATAGATTTTAAAAAAAAACCCATGACCAGTCGCGCTCACAATGGGACCTTCTCGCACCCCCGTTTGAGAACCCCTGCCTCAAGTGGTGAATTCCTCGGACAGATGTCTACAACTAGTCAGAACTTCTTTTCGGGAGAGTAATGACTACTGGACTACTGTTTAAGAAATTTACTACCCTTTTTCGAGTTTATATTTAATTCAAACTCAAAATATAGCACGACAAAAAAAATCAAACCCATCTGGAGAGCGTTTCACCATGACGAATATATACGTGGGTCATCCCAAAAGTTCGAGAACAAATGTGAATATTTTCTTTGCATGTGATCCGGCAGCAACGGTCTTATCAAAGTGTTCATATTGATGTCTCATGGTGCTAACGTAGGAATGATCGTGTAACTGCTCCTTCCCGTTGCAAAGATATCGCATTTTAAAGTAGACCTACATTTCACCACTATGGAAGAAGATGATCGGGTCCAGCGAGATGGGATTTGGTTTCTGTGAAAACAGAAAAAGTCTCAGGTCGTGAGCTGCAAGAAGTTTACAGGGACAGACCTTTCGGGAAAAGTGCCATAAATAAGTGGATGCATCGCTTTGAAGCAGAATGGATTCCAGTGGATGATTCGCCAAGGGCGACCTGACCTTGGCGCACGCTTGGAGCATGCTCCCGCAGTGAACCAGTGGGTTCAAGTGACCCCAGCAAACTGGTTTGCTGAAAGACTCGAGAAGCTGATAGAAGGGTAGCAGAAGCGTGTGCAGCTGCGCGGGAAGTATATTGAGAAAGTTCACTTGCAATAATGCTGCATTTGGTGTTTCAACTTGATGTAGGACAAAATGTTCTCGAACTTTTGGGATGACCCACGGTACGTCATATCCACTTAAGGAGTCAACTTCCTTCCTTCCTCCCGGGATGGGGATGTTCAAGAAAGCTTGCCCGTCGACGAACACGAGACTCCGTTGAAGGTAGGAAGATTTCAATATTCCGTTTCTCATCAGAGAATGGAAAGGTTTTCTTGGAAACGCCAAAAATCACATCATTCTGACACCGTATTTCTCCGAACGCAATACAGTTGGACGAAAAGGGCAAGTAGCAGAAGGAACAACCTGCCTCTCGTTCACTCAAACGATTCAAATTCCATGTCCCTGACTTCCCAGCCACTTACGGACTGAAAATAATGTTGGCTGTAGGCTACTATATGAAGTTTGGGGTAACAATTTTTGCGCACGGTGTCCCGTGAATCGTCATGGAATACAATTTTCACTTGCAGCGTCTGCTCAGCATGCACACTACCAAGGTCACACGTGTGCCCATGCGAGATAAAAAGAAAACATACCACTATCATAATTCGTTCACTTTTTTGCGTACATCAGCATTTTGGCAAGAAGCAGAATTTTTTACGCATGGTTTACGGATTCGCCCGCATTTTTTTATGGACAACTTTAAGTTTTTATTATTATTATATTATTCTGAACTTCCAATCAAACCTGTCAATGGATAAATTGTAATCACTGTGACATGGAAGCATCATTTTATTTCACATTAAAAGAATGAAAGCACTGCAACAAAAGATGAGTAACACACATGCACACAGGAGCAAAAGCCTGCAGCTGAGAAATGTAAACATTGTCAATGATATGTCAGAGGGAAGGAAGAGGAGTGGGATGTAGGGAATGAGAGGAAGGGTGGATGACTAGGGCTTGGGAACAGACCAAGTAACAGGCTGCTTCTAGCAGAGTGTTAGAATCGTCGCGAACAGAATAATGCCAAAGCGGAATCACGCCGAAAGACATCCTGGATTGAAGGAAAACCCAAAAAACTCCAACTAGAATGAAGTATAAAAACCTTAGAAAAGGAGGAATGTGTTCAGTGTGCAACAGGTGTATGCATGTTGCAGCTTCACAAAGATGACACCCCTATCTCATTCTCTTTTTTTATGTCGACGCCAGTGAATTGGTTAAGTGCATGACTTAGGTTGAGGAAAAAACAGGAATATCAATGTTGCCTCTTTACTCCAGGTGATTTCATGAACTGCACTTTAATTTATCGTTTTGAAATGGATGACCAGCCTTTCAGGCATTTGACTAATTAGAGAATCTTCCAGGAGTAACTTAGGAGCCTTCCATGAAAACTTGGAGCAAGGGCATTCATGGCATCATCTTAGTTTCTGCTAGGCTTCATGATGGCATGAGAAAATCTTTCCTAATAGAATTTAACAAAATTTTGAGCCAGTTTATGGCAGTTTGTGCACAGTGCAAAAACAAGAAAAGTGGATGAGAAGTACACATCTACCACACTCTATGTTGAAAAAACATACCAGCCCTATCCAATATTGGTTGTAAATAATACTTTCTCATAGCAATGTTCAGTAGAGAGCCTAGCAAAATTGGCTTAAGCCCATACATTTTCCTGTCGATTTAAGATTTGTTTGCCATTATCTGTTTTTGAAAAACAGAAGTTTTGACAGCACAACTGAACGAGATCTCGACTAGAGACCAGGGGAGTTTGATGGTGGTTCATCACCATTCTGATGTAATTCCAACATTGCAAAATAGGTCCACGTTATTCTGATTTGGCATTATTCCGTCGAGCTTACTGCCTCCCTGCTTTTGGCAGACGTGACTGGGCTGATTTACAACAATGAGCACCAAACTCATGAATCAGGATGTCATTTCTTTGCCTCCAATGCACTCCTCCATAGCATTCCACCACCTTTATAAAACAAAAGAGATATCTCAATGAACAAAGAGCACTTCAGCGACCCTCCTCTATAGCAACAATGCATCATCAGGGTTGGCAAGGGAGGCCTGATCTTGCAAAAATATTTGGGAGTATGTACTATTTATGTATGACTTGGAAATATTCAAAGAAACACCTAATTTGGAAAGAGAATTTCTCAAATTTAAAATTTGTATTCATCTCTCATTAACAAGCAATTTTCAGTCTCTCTCAGCTGATGCTGCAGAGAATCATCCAAGAGGACAAAGATGGGAGGCCTCATAGGAGGCCCACAGACAAATAATAAGGATATCCTGTTGAAGAGGTAAATGATGTACAGGGTGACAATTCTCAATGTTACAGATTTTAATGGCTCACATACCAATTAATAAATTTTCAACAGAGAGCACTGAGTGACACATTTCCAGAAAGCTTGTTTCATGCAGATTTGTTAACACGGAGTGTCAATATTTGCTAGAGCAAAGGTTGTGGATAGTGACATAATTCATGGAGATGAGGGCAAACTGTGGGAATGCAGAAATCAAAATAGAGGGCATCTTGAACACATTTTAGCATAATTTCAGTATAATTTGTAGAATTTCTTTGATATCTATAAAACTGCAGAGCTTTAGCTTTTACTTGAGCTATTACTCATGAAAATTGGTAGTTGATTATAAAAATGAGCACTTGTGAAAATCAGTAACATTGAAAATTGTCACCTTGTTGTAGATGAGGTTGCAGAGGCCAGCCTCATGGCTCAAATTGCACTGAATTGCACTAAGGAACAGCACTCAAAGTGCTGGTCCTCAAGATGTGAGCCCAAAGCTCCTTTGAAATCTAAAGTCAACCCAGACCTTAGTAGATGGCTCTCAGATGTCTGAATAACCTATCCCAGTCAACATTGATGCAGGTGACAAGAATGAAAAAGTCCTAAACCTCAATGAGAGTTCATACAATCACTCACTATATCTTCTTGATGTAATATTGCAGTGCTGAGAGTATTGAAACTTGCATGGTGAGAACTTTTGTTGGAATGATTCACTTCCATATTTTCACTTTCATATTTTCATATTCTAAATTTCTTAATTTTTCTCAATTTTGATTTGGCCATGTGGTGGGTCAATGTGGAGCAGTTCTTATTCTGGTACTTGCCTGTTTAGGTGCAGCCATTCATCATTCAACAAAGTCACCTTATGATGATTTCATTGTAATATTTTTTTAATGGTCATCAGAGTGTGAAAATCATATACTGCCTTCTCCTAACTTTGCACTCACCAGCAACCACTGCTCTACAGAGCTCACATAAGGTCATCCTCATCTGTAAAGGTGTTCACCAACAATCAAGTTCTTTGTGATATTCATACAGCAATAGCTTGGGCTAGGGTATTACAATGTGCTTCAGATGGATCTTGACCAGTGACCTCAAGCATCTATTATCAGTTATGAACCATATCAATGCTATTGATGTGTACACACATCTGCCACTTCAAGTATGTACCAGAGACAATTCATCACCTTCACTACATGGGGAATTTGCATAATTCAGATTAGCACCATACTGAATGAAACTAAAGCCTGAAATTACTCACATAGGGGGCACTACCTAAAAAAAAAAACTCAGCATTGAAAGGGTTAAATAAAATCAAATTGATTATGTTAATGTTTAAGAAATTATCCACTCTAAGGCCAGGCAATGCTCAGCCTCAAAAAATATCATCAGTACCAATATAAGCAATTCCAGATTAGTTCCTTTGGCTCACCTTCAACTCCTGCAGAACCAGACATGTCAGTACAAAGTAGCTTGAACTATTTCATTACTACTTCATTTGAAAGATCTAAAATAATTGGATTCTTAATTGTTTGAAGAGGTGATGGAGAATCAAAGACAAGAGACCTGGTAGCTTCAGTGGGGCTAGGAGCCATGAAGACATAAGAGCGCCTTGTGTGGGGCTGACTGAGTCGAAAGCATTTCTCTTTCTCTTTCTCAGCTATTTCAATCCCTCGCTGAATCTCATGACCTGGGACAGGAGTTGCAGCCAGTGCCCGGTCATCCTCTTTGTTCTCATAACTGTACAACACCCCATCTGCCCTCAGAGCAAAGAAACGCCTCTGCCAGGTCTTGCTTCGACTCCCTTTGAACATCAGCTCCCCTGAAACCACACTATCTTTTGAGGCTGGAACCTATAGGAATGAGAAAACCATTGCATAATAAGATCAAGATGTAGAGGAAGAGATTTTGTGAGGCAACAGACTTGAAGGATGGCAGCAGCTCTTTGGATAGGCAGTCTCAGATTCTCCTTGTCTTCACTATGATTACTATCAGAGACCTCAGAAGATGGCCTCTCAATCTCTTCGTGACACTGTCGGCACACTCGACTGCTTTTGGAACCCTCAATCCATGGTAAGGGTGTTCGCTGCCCTGCACACTTGCTGCATATCACCTATCATGATTGATACTGACTCTCAAACCAATTAACATAGCTTGACAATACTCTATTATGTAGCCATTCATAACAAAAGCACTGCTAAAAAGTGGAGATAAGCAGCTTACAATGCCACATGCATGACAGTGGTGCCTCCTCTTGAAGGTACCAAATGAGGAAGAACAATCCATGCACTTGGCAACACTGTCCATACGAAGGTACTCAGGTGGCTCCTTTCCAATCACACTGGAACCCAGAATGGAACTCTTGCGCTGGCAGAAGTCCTCTATCACTCCCACCAGAGCCTCCAACCATGCTTCCTTTTCCTCACCATTTCTACAATCATATTTAGCTTGTAAACAGGCATCAAAATACTTCTGACAAGGCCTAAACAGGATGCAAGAAATCTCACTTAGTGTAGAGTTCAATAGTCTTGTGAGTATCACTGAGGTAAAAGGAGTGAGGGGTTTCTAGGTTGTCCCCTTGGAACACCTGCAAGCCCAGAATGGAAAACTGAGCTCTCAGCTTCAACTGAGTTCCACCCACTGTTCCTGGAACTGGGAGCAGTCGACTTGAGCAAAGGAGTAGCAGGTCACTGAACTGCAACATCAACCATGAAAACAAAATGCTTTCAATGACTGCATCTCAAGACACACATATAAGGAACTGGGATACACATACAAGGAAGAGATAGCGTTCCTGATGATCCCCAGACCGGGCTGAAATCTTCCAGATACGTCCTTCCTTGATGAGGATCCGAGAAGGACTGACCAGGTCCAATGCTCCAGCAAGTCTCTCCTGAGTCTCCAAGAGTTGCTTGAACTGATCAATACGCCTCATGGCATCGTTGGCATGGTTGGCGGCCACTGACACCAAATGTAGAGCCTCTGAAATCCCAGATGAGCAATCTCAATCAGAAGATGATGGGAAAAAGTAGGTGACAAACTAATGGACCACTCTCAGCACTCTATTGTGACTTCAGAAATAATGTGGACTCACTCTGAGCATCTTCCCGGTCACTGGAATGAGATGCAAGCCTCTTGAGGTAATCCATGAGTAGAAGTCGATACCGAGGAAGACGTTGGACTGGACAGAGCATGTGATGCTCAACACTTAAATTTGCACTCTCTTCCATGTACTGCATCACAATCCATATTTCAGTTAAAAAAGCATAACAGATAAAAACAATGACAAAAATAGCCCTTACCTGGATCTGATCCACAATTGCAGCAAAACGAGGGCTCTTCTTACACCAGACCTTAAGCAACTTCATGGCATTATCAAAGTTCTTCACATATTCAGTGTACATCTTCAAAAATGGAGCCAGTCCTTTCATGATGTCTCCTGCAACAAGATATCAACACATGAATGTATGCAGATAAAAGTATGATCAGATACTAGGTCCATCAACATGTTCTAATGACCATCATGCACAATAGACTTGTTCCTTGTATTTAATACTAGCAGTTTCCATACCTATTCGAGGGTCCTTCTCCCAAGAGCCAATTCTCTCAGTGAGCTTAGGAAGAAGGAAATCATGATGGAGTTGATAGAGGCTTTTCACATTAGAAAAAATTCCTGCTATAGTTTCTCCAGGGAACATGGCACGCTTCTTGTTTTCCTCCTCCACTTGCTTCTGGAATACCTAAATCAAGGAATATATAGTTTTATTACAGGCATACTTCTCAGACTGAGCAGATTTTATCATACTTACAATGAAAAAGAATTTTATTGGAATTTTTCTTGGCTAACCTCATAAATCAAGTGGAGAATTGTGACATAGGTCTTTTCAGTTGAGATGAGCTCTTGTACAATTTTGAAGGACTTTTCTTGCCGTGGATCAGGGTATTCAAGAGGAAGAGGAGTACATGGGATACTGAATTGTGACTCTGAATCACCAGCTTCTGAAAGAGTGGGTGTTGAAGTCCTTGTTGATGTCTCCGTCTCCAAAGACAATGGACGACTTCGTTTCCGCATTTTCATCTCCTATTGGCATCATTTGTATGCAATTTTATTCCACTTTGAGTAAATATGCTCCAGAGCTCACTAACTCCTATAAACCAACCTTCACTGAATTTCGAGACTTTGAAAGTACAACAGGCAGTTGATGGGGGTCATCTTCATCCTCTTCACTGTTTTCACTCTCACTATCATCATATTTGTGCATAGCTGTTACTTGTTCTGTGCTGATTCTGGAAAATAACACAAAAATCAAAGGTCTTTCTTAACTATTTCAACAAGAGATAACCAATAAGAGATAGGGCTTTTATGCTTTGATTTCTCAATAATAGCAGCAATACTATGAAAGAGCAATTCTACTTAAATCTCACTATAATCAACTTTGGTTATGTACAGGCTTAGTTCAACTGTTGATGCACTGCCATAGCTGCAGAATATGACAGAATGTGAATGGAAGCAATAAACCAGATGGGACAAAAAGTACTACACCCTTAATCCTTTATCTGCTATATGCATAGGAACTAATGCAATTTTGTAGGTTATTAGCACCACTCATCCCTGACCTAATACTCTTCATTTCAATAAAATATAACCAATAGTTCTTGGATTGTATTTTTTTAAGTGCCAATGAGAAAATCACAGTTGCACATGTGTTATGTGAGCATGCTTGGATAAACATTATTTTTTGTTGGAAAAAAAAAAAGAGTTCATCAAGAGCTTACATAGCAATGATTATTTAAAGGATTTATATTATCAAGGAGATCAAAAGAAATGTTTAATGCATCCTTTCCTACTTTAATGAGCATCATCAGCCTTGTCTACCAGAGCTTATAGAATGTTTATCCTAACATGTGAAAGAAAATTAAGTAGCACAGTGGTGATTTTCAAATTAATGCTGGAAAAAAAAAAGACTATGCAAAAACAATTTCCTTGAAATAAAGTGCATTGCATCAGAGTGAAATGGTACGAATGATCCTCTAAATTGCATGAATGTATTTTAATCAATACAGATATAACAGTCAAAATAATGAGAGTAAACTTTTCCTTGACCCATCCTATATCAGGCAGATTGCAGTCTTACTATACTGATTGGGAAAAAAAGGACATTATGAAAACATGGGCTTCTGAAGACATGACTGGCTTCAGCCAGCAACTACCCAAAGTCTGCTTTCTCTTTCCAAAAAATACCATATTCATTAAGTCTGCACAATGTCATAAGGGCTTTAAAAATATTCTATGTAAATTTTCATGATAATACTTCTGTCATAGGAAATCCATTTTGAATAAGATAAGCAAGGTTCCAACCTGAAGGAATTGGTGCTACCACAGTATTCAAAGGTGCTTCTTGATGTATGCATCTGTAAACCTTTCTTCCCAGGAGACACAATGATGGGAGTGAACCTTGCAAATCCACCAAAAGCACCAAACTTTGGTAAATCATCACTGAAGAAGCTGTCACTGTCCATCCCAAAATGTCCAAAAGTGAATCGGTTTTTTTGATTCGGAGTTCCTTTCAGTCCTGATGAGAACATTTCACTAGGTCGTTGCAAGGTCTCTCTAGACTCAGAAAAGCCACTGGATGAGGAAAACACTTTCTGGAAGTTGCTTGACTGACTTGACTGTGATTCAGTGCTCTTGAAGAGCTTGGACTCCTGATTTCCACTTGAAGAAAAATCACGAAATTCTTTATTCATACTCTCACTGGAGGTCTCTCTTTTACTGCTGGAGGATTCTTCCTTCCAGCTTTGTGTCTGAGATTTTCCACCAAACCCTTCAAAAAGTTTGCTTTTGTCAGGGAAGCCCAAGCCAGAGAACTTGGAGTCAAAGTCTGAAAATACTGATCTCTGACCAAATTGTTCTGTCATTTGGGTAAAACGATCCTGATTGTCTTTTACAAACTGCGCAAACCTTTCCTTTGAACTGGTCTGAAATTTCTCCTGTGCTTCTTTGAAGAATGTCTCCAAGCCCTTTGGATCACCAGAGAGTGTCCGAAATCCATCTTTACCCGAAAACTGGAAGGTCTGATGGCCTTTGAGAAATTCCCGTGCATCATGGGTCAAGTTGTTGATTCTCTCCTGCTTGAGTTTTTCTCTCTCCATTTTTAACTCCCTGGATGTCTTTAGGGTGTGAGCATGTGCCCAATCTTTGGTCTGTCCTGGTTCTTTTAAGGGGGGTGCAAAAGAATTTGAGCGCTTCACAGGATCATTAGATATTTTGAAGCTTTTTCTGGGCAAAAAGGCAACTAATGCTAGCTCCTCCTGAGCTATTTCTGGCGTCCCTGTTTTCACATGTCCATTGGCTAAGTACTTAATTTCCCTAGTCAAACTCTTGCTTCGAAATCTTGCATTCCCTCTAAATGTTGGCTGACGTGAAGCAAATCCAACAAGCGTGACAGGATCACTCCCCTTCTCCTCACAATCACCTCCGTTACCCTTCCCTGGAAATCCCAGGTGACCTGGAAAAGGAACAAGTATAGAATAAATGCACCCAGGTACAGCAACAGTTGGGTATGTTTATAATTTGGATTTTATTAAGTTTCTGGCAGAGGCCTAAATACCTAACAAGTGACCAGCAAGAAAACAATGCGACAGCAAATAAAAATATTTATATAAAAAAAACGAACTAAAACCAAAAAACAACGTAGGCCTATGACACTTGGATCAGTGCCTAACGCGTTAGGTTAAGAAATTACAGATTTATACGGGTCTGCACTTGATCGTGCTTTTTAATCGCATTCGATCCGTCAACTTCAAACAAAACAAACAAGCAAAGCTCATCATGTAAAGATAGAGTGGCAGCGTAATCAGCGCTCTTACCGCTTCAACGGCACAAAGCACATTATTCCCACATTGCCGGTCGCCATGTTTGTGTTGTGAGTCAATATTCTGCTTGCCTGATAAGTTAGAATACTCTTAGTCATATGGATGCTCATGAGATGAACGTAGGAATTATATGCGTCATAGATATTTTAAACCACTCCGTTTCATACAGAAACGGCTGCAGGTTGCAGATATGCCGAGCATTAGATCTTAAATTCAGTAGCGCAACCAGCTCTAAGAATAGGGGAGTTCGAAAAAGTTATAACTAGCTGTCTTTCAAATGTCTCTGAATTGCAAGAAGGCTTTATAAAATCATCAGAATATATATATTATTCATAGTACAAACCTAACGCGACCTGGAACGCGCGCTAATTCGTCCAGGACGTCATTTGGGTTCATATATGCACAGGGTGTCCGATAATTCACTTAGCCATTTCAGAAGCTAATATTTTCTGAACTACTGAATGGTTCATGCAATTAGCATCAATGGATGGATGGCAATTTACAAGACTTTATGGTAGAGCCACAAAATCGTGGCAAAATGGAATTTTCACAAAAAAAGCATTTTAAAGTGAGATAAGGGAAGGAAGGCGAATTGTGGTACTTATGGCTACTTCCTATTTCTTCCACAGTTATGCTCCTTCGGCAAGTGTCATTCATTTTGGATCCAACCTCGTTTCTTGACTACGAGTTCAAATCCGAAACTCAAATGCTGCTTGACGAGTAAGAGACTTGGCAGGAAGCCTAAAATACTCCATGCAGGAGCCAGTTTGTACACGTATTTGAGCAGTAACTACGTCTAGGGGGCAGTCACCGTACATATTTTTCATAACTTTCCGGAGCTCAGCTTCCTGGGAGATCCATGGTATGTTAGGATTAGCGGAGGTTTATACCCCCCGATGCCCTCCCTGTCCGTTCTCGCTGACTGCCGCTCCCCCCACCCCCAGAAAGAATTTATGAATTCGTTCTTGCAATTTAATCTCGAACACTTACAAATGAATATGGTACACGATCGAGTACCAGCCGCATGAAGCTCAAGGTTCATGAATACGCCTTCATCTCGGAACTCCAACGGAAGCTGCACAGCTACTGTACTCGTATAGAAACATTGCGAAAACTCATGCTTTTTTCGTGTCGAAGTTGAAGTGGGCTTCGTTGCATGGAAAATGAACTTAGCTATCTCCAAGATTGAAAGAACATAACGGAAAAGGAAGTCGCTAGGATGAAGCCCAACACATGCAGCTACGCGCCAAAAGAAGGCTGGGCTTAGTAGAGCTTTGCCAGCTTTTCCTTTCTCCTATCGATGAGATATCCATCTCGCAATTGATCGATGGAGATGGAGAGAGGAATTATTTATTTGAGGCTCCTGCATGCGATTACGGAACTGTGCAACAATCACCTAAGCTTTCAGGAAATCGTCAAGTGCTTGTGATCGTCTGAATCTAAAACCAGATGAGGGAAGGAAATGGAATATAAAAATAGCATTAAGAAGATGTCTATTTAAAGGATCATTCCACGGAATACATAAGAGAATATGCAGGGTGTTAAAAAGCCATGACCTAGGAGTCCACACCAGCATCCGAAAGTTATACAAATGAATGCTTGGTTTCAATGAATAGCCTATTCTATTGCCCATTCAAATGCTCAGTATTTTGTGTGCCCACCATTGGTGTCTTTCGCGGCGAAAAATCGTGTAAGGTACGACCTGAGCAAGCACTCGAACAATCGCTGAAGCATTCCAGCTCGTGAAACATTAGATTCAAGAGTTCCGTGAGCTTTTTTTTTTTTTTTTTTTACAAGCATTCGTTTGTTCCGTCCTCTGAAATCATCCTCTCTTTCAATTCTTCAATCAAATGAAAAGTAGAATTCACTTTTTCGGAAGCACTGAATGACCTAATGCATTGCTCAATCTGAACGTTGCAGAACACTTTCAAGCCATCTTGAGCTTTGAGTGAATCCATACACCCAAATGGGAAAACGGATTCCCCCCATATGTAGATACGATCGGGGAAGAAACAATGCTGAAGGACTTTTCCACTGCAGCATGTCTCCTAAATATGATCGATGAAGAGAAAGCATGACTCGACGAAAAGGAATGACTTAGAACGCGAACATCGATGTCCGAAATGGCGATTGTCGCGCCGGTACACGAGCAAGTCCTTGGAAGGAGATATGAATTATGAAAGCAGCCTGAGGTCTGGCTCTGTTTTTATATCCTTGCCAAGGCCCTCGGATGGACTTCTCCATCGACATTGTCTCCGACCGAGACGAATGAGCATAACAAATTAGACGCGAAGGCAGGAAGGACATTTTTGCCGAGATCTTGTTATTTCTCTATGTGATGCTTTGAAATGAAAGGGGAGCAACATGCAGGAACGTAGCGCTTAGAAAACTTAAATCGTGTATTACTCCACAACTCGGAGATGGCACAATCTTGTCACGTCAGACGATTTTATCTTGTTTGGCTTTCCCCCCGCGATCTCAAGAGGATTCAAAGCAAATCATAAACCCATTTGAGAAGTTTCTCCAGTGGCCTTTGTTATGATTCATTGGAGATTCAGAAGTAATCAGACCGAAGCATGGTTCCTCCGAGTAAACAACATCGTCAGCCACCAACTTTCACGAATTCCTTCCACTCAGACTCGCTCAATAGCTAATGGGGGGGGGGGGGGGAGGTCACTCTTGGGATTTTCTTTGAGGATACAATCCCAAACACTTGAAAATCAAGTTACTTTTTTTCCGAAAAGAAAAAGAAAAAATGACAAAGAGAACTCATCATTCCACGAATGCTAAAGAGAAGACGTCGTGAGTTTCGGAGCAGCCAATTCATATATGACAGGACCGTGTTTACGCATAAGATATTAAACAATAAAAAAAAAACATCCACCGCGCGGCCCCTGATAACACGTTGCGTTATCTCTATGGCTCTATTGCACGTGTTTTATTGAGTTATAACAGCATGACTATCGCATTCTTGCAATTTCATCACATGCGCGATAGTGCGCATTCTGGGTAACACGCGGGGTAACATACGTCCTGTCAATCATATATGAATTTATTCCTCGCGATTCTTGATGCTTCATATGAAGACGGAAAACAGCATCCTCCTGACTTTCCAGTGGGTAGATCTCGCCTTTACCGACAAAAAGTCGTCGTGGGTTCCAACTACTTCACAGGTAGCCGACTAAATATAGAAAAATATCATCTCAACGGCATCGTAACTATTTTTTTCATGAAATAGTTACTGCGTATTTGTAACCATTGAAATTTCTAAATGCCTATATATATTACTTTCGTCATGATAAATAACCTTCGAACGCTGCTCGTGCTACTATTATATCACACACCTTTTCTTTTCTCCAATCAATCGAGAAAACTTTGAGTGAAGATGGACGAATCGCGATTTTCAGCCAAATCACTAATCGAGATGGAATTTTTTAACGAAATGAATCAAGCTCTAATCGAAATTCTCACATTTGGAATAAGATTGAATGGAACTTAAAGGAACTCTCTTGAATCGCCACAAAGCTATCGAAATGAGCTGTTTTGCTCCTGGAATAAGTGAAGGCAACCGGGACTCTGGATGCGATCCGACATTCCCAGAATTTCTTAAATGCAAGTTTATGCCAGCATGTTAAAAGAAAAAGACTCGAGAAAGAATCTACTCTCATATAGAACACGTATTGTGATTCCCATATGGGAAGAGACTCATGGAACCCCTGATATGTATTTTTTCCTTCACTAAACTCCTGAACTAAATTAAAGCGTTCACGCCTAGTTCGATTCCTTCCAGGAACGGAATTTGACTCCTTGGTGAGACGAATCTCGATACGCGAATCGGTAATTTCATAGATTATTCACGATTCGGGCTCCACCACCTCAAGACTAGCTTTCTAATCAAACCGAGTCATCGCTAAAAAAAAAAAAAGTGGTGCAACGACTAAAGTACCTGACAGCTCCCATCCATTGTTCAACGTTTTTTCGAAGTAGGACTCCGAATTTCAATGCATTATCAAGGTTACGCGTTTTCCTTTTACGTCGAGAAAGCAATTCCCAGCAAGACCCATTATCCTATTTAAATAAATGTATGGGACTGTGCATTTGGTTTGATTAATGCACAGCAACAAAAAAGTGCTCGTGAATTTAATGCTATTTCGTAAACCTGTATGTCACGTTCTCGGCTCGAATTGTGCGCTTCCAAGAAGAACGTAATTCAACCGAGAAAATAAATACTGACCTAGATTAGGCCAAACGGCCGAATTCCAGATACGCGATACTACGCAGCAGGATTTTCCAACGGTCTTTACGAGGGTAAATTCGGTCGCAGACACACGGGATGTTCACAGAAACGAGAAGAAAAGCACGTGGAAAGAAACGCATGGATCGAGGATGAAACAGGGGACACACCGAGTGCGAGCGGGAAGTGTGAGTAAGGCCAAGTGGCGAAGGGTGCTACAAGACCAACGGTTGAATTGTTCACGCATAACGTCATCGTAGGCGTGGCTCTGGCCATGGCTGCTTCCTTCCCGTGGCTAGCGTTGCCAGCCCTTTTTCTTTTATTTTGCCTCCCACTGTTTCAGTCCTTTCGAATCGGAGCCAAATACCGCCACTATCCTGCTCCATCGCAGCAAACAGAACTCGCGGACGATTAAACGTCGCCGTCACCGTGAAGGCGTCTCCGAAAGTTCTTTTCGCGGAAAAGAGACAGTGTGGCATGATTATAATCTGGCAACCGTGATTTGAGATATGAGCGGAACACCCGAAGCGAGGAAAAGCACCGCGGGGGGTCCTGTGGGTAATTCATCGTTCTGTCACCATCTTGCACTCATTTCGTTTTTACAGGCGGCATAAACATATGGAGAGAAACACATCTCTCACTGAAATTTAAAAAAAGTATGACAATGATCCTGGCCTTGCAGAGCACGCATCATCGACGAGATAACGAGAGAACGGTCAATTCATATATAGGAGAGGTTTATGGAATGACCTAGAGGAAGGGTTAATGAGACTAGGAGGTTCAACGTGGTAAGAGGATTTCATGGTGATTAGGGGCGTCCCATCTATGCACGTATATAAAGTGTCGGTTTGCGTGTACGGAGGAAGGCTGGGAGGAGTTCAAGGGACTCAAACAATATCCCATGCATATACTCCCACTCATCCTCCTACGTTATCCTCCGTCTCCAGGGTGCGAGAGAGAGATAAAAAGCAAATGAGGCAATACGGGTGAGCCAGCCATGCATACTTCCGCATTCATTCCGTTGCCAGCTGATGTGGAGAATCAAACGAGGGTCATTCCAGTGTTGTTAAAGAGAATTGCTCGATGGTGGAGATAGGTGAGAGATTAGGAACGTCTCCAAATGGATGCATATGAGAAGAGAAATGACGTGGAACGACGTGGCAGACCTTTATGCAAGCCGAATTCGATTTTTGGTGGCATGGGAGAGATCAGAGACTCAATTTCTTATTCTCACTTTACCTCATTATGGCTCCGTGTGGGAATAAAATCAACCCCCTCAATAGATTTTCCCGCGCATCCAATCGCATGCAAACTTGATGCATGCCGCTCTTTAAATACTAATGTATTTCACTTTTTTTTTTTTTACATTTCATATCATTTCATATAGTACAAGTTTGTTCCCCGTGAGCTCGGGCTTAGAAAGTGGCAGAACTCGGTCGCGTCCAACGCCGCCCTTGTCACATCGATGAAAACGGACCGGTATTTCTCGCCCCGAGTCTTTTAAGGAGGGCTGGAAAGTACAAAGAGTACGTGGAGAACCGATCGGCATCGAAGGTGGGAGAGAAAAAATCCACTTTCGTGGACTTTCTCCCTCTTTGACCCGGACGAACAGGTTGCTCAAATCCATCCATCTCGTTCTCTGGTCCAGAGAGCACGGATTCCGGTCCAGAGAAACGGCACTCGTGCATGACAGCATCCATTGCATTATCGTGCGTCCGTGATGACGGTTCTCGTCGATGCATCCATAGCTTCCCCCGAAAAAAGGAAAAGGCAAAGATGGAGGATTCCCAAAATCCAGTCGAACCGTAGCCCCAAAAAAGGAACTCGAGGCAGAGGAAAGTCGTCTGTCCGCAAAGGGAAGACTCGTTCTCGCGTGGAAGTGGGGTTTGTCAACTGCATCCTAATGAGTCATACTGGGTCTGGCGTATTTGTATCTCGCCGGGACCAAGGACCGTGTCCATTGGCCTGAATGCATGCGACAGGCCTTATCTTCGCATTTATTTTCCTCTCCTTATCTTTTCCATCACCTTATTTTCCGGTCCGGTCACCCAGACCTGACAGGACTTCACCGACACTCTCACTGTGAATTTTCTTTATTTACATTCCTTATCGATCCGCAATAGCCCTATTAATACGTACATGCAACAGTGAGAAATGGGATTCCCTCGCTAATATCCGTCCTAAATATTAGGCGTAGGAAGATGAATAAGAAGCTGCGCGGTGATTTGTATCTAGCCGCGCCTGCTCGTAAAGTCATGCCTGAAATGGCTTCATCTCGAAGGATCTTAAAGCAAAGTGAGGGACGAGAACGATAAGGATGTCAGTGAAAGTGAGCCGAGGGGGGGAAATATAATAATAATAATAATGACTTCTCCGTAGTGCATATTTGACCCGTCGGCTGACCGGAGGGCTCCTTCCACCGACTCCCACATTCATTGATAGAGAGAAATATCCTCCATTCTCTTTTTTGAGGGGGCCAGGAATTAGAAAGGATAACGCTTAAAGGGTCTTCAGAGAAAATGCGTACATTTAATCCTAAGCGAAATGTAAGGAGCACTCTCTGAGGCCTATCGGTAAGTAGGAAACGATCCGTTCGAGGATCTCCCACGGCACAAAGTGTAGTCCTACACCCGGTCGGGGGATACACGGATGCATAGAACGAGGAAAGAGAGACCGGCACTCACGGAGAAGAAGGTGCTTCATGAAGGAGGGATTCAGAGCTCCAGAGACGGGATGAGGAGGAGGAATACCCTGGAAAAGGAACTCCGTAGCCCTCCTTCAACACATGTGGAGTATGAATGTGTGAGAAAAAAGTGACCAAGAAGGAGTCCCGTTATATCCTTCTTCACTACCAACTGACTCTTTAATTGCTCTCCGGACTCACGACCGTCGTACGTCAAAAATCCAAACGATGAAAATCCTCAGGATCCTGATAATTACTCGTCGGAATGGTATTCCTTCCCCCTATTCCAGAACATCCAATTCAGCCTGCGAGTCGACGTGGAATGTAGATTCCATGTGAAAGAATGGTCACTAATTTTTAATATCCCTTTGAAAAGGACTTGAGACACCGTTTTGACTGGGAATGACTTGTCAGTCTTTGGGGAGATCCATCTTTTTATCCCTCCCTGAGTAGAAACTATGCGGAAACATTCCCCAGCTCGCGTATTGGCACCTGAGCGTCACCTATTATGTTCCTAGGCAGAGGGGGGGGGGGGGGGCAATTGGGGCAATCTGCCCCGGGCCCTTCGTATCAAGGGGTCCCAAGGGGGGCCTCCAAAGGGCTTCAAGGGGGCCTCCAAGGGCTTCAAGGGGTCCCCCAAAGGGTCTCCGGTTTAGTTTTGCCCCGGGGGCCCCTGGAAACCTCTGGGCGGCCCTGTTCCTAGGCCCTATTGATTAGGACATGATTAGTATTTGGATGATCACATGGTAGGGTAGAGGGGCGGCAGAAGACCAAATCCCCATCCCATCCGGCTAAACCTCACGACTAAGTTGAATACATGTTGAAACCTGAAACTCGAGATTTCATGGAATGGGGATAGGGCAGAACATTCATGCATTTTTTTTTAAATGGGTTATCACAATAACATAACGATACATTATTTTTGTATAAAGCGTAGCTTTCTTTCTCCCATCAATGGCAATCGGAAAACGTTAGGTGTATATTAATCATCATGAAACGGGAGCATGGGTTTCTCGATCGAAATCCACAAACGACTTTATTACCCGTGCGACTTGTTTTGTCCAGCGGCTACGAATGCGTAGAATCGAGCGAAACAGACGAAAGCACCACGACCGCGAATTGCATGGCTGGAAAATGTCCCAATACCATCAAGGCAGAAGACCGAAAGACTGGAAAAGGGAAACTCCCCCCCCCGAAAGTCCGGGTGGGAAAAATGGAGAAAGGCTTGAATGACATGTAAGTGGCGGGCTAGTATGGCCTGCCAATTACCTCCGACTCACCGTTATCGTACCCACTCCCTCCTGCATTCTACCACATGCGGGAACGTTTTAAAGAGCCGTTTCCGGAGGACCGTAAGTGAAAGATCGTAAATGCATCGCCGTCACGACGAGCTCGCGTCTGGATCGTACGACCGCGGGCATACGGCACGGAAGCTTTTTTCATCTCCCGTCGCGTCGATATGGGTATTCCATTCGGCAGGTGCGGTGTACCTTTCGTCTGCAAACGCATTCCGAGCGAGGTGATCATCGTTCGCGCCGTACCATGTGCTGGGATTTCTGCCTTCGGCTCTCTAATATCTCGGAGAACTCCCGCTGGGTATCGGTCGAGTAAGTCGATACCGACCATCTGACGTCGGATGATGCCGTTTAAGACGCCGGCGTATTTTCCGCCGTCTCGTTACGATTTTTGATGGAATCTCGAGAGAACGAGAGGCTTTCAGTCGTGTTGCCTGGAAGTGCGTTTCCTATCGACTGGAATAATGAAACCTCATCCTTTCCGTTCGTTCCGTTACCTTTATAGGGAGCCGGTACGCTCGGCATTTAGGAAATATTCCCGAAGGAATGGCGGTCTTGCTCTCCATCTGGATGCTCCTCGCAAGAAAAAAAAAAAAGGAAGAGTGGAAAGAGGGTGAGAACCAAGGCTGGTGAGAACTCGTTTCTGGTCGACGGGATCCCGGATTCCGTCCGTTTCTAAGCGGGTCGATCGCACGCCATCGGGCTCTTCGTCGCATTCGCGCGAGGGGGCAACTTTTAATTTCCAATAAACCAGGTACGGAAGGTGAAAGGTGAGACGGGGATTCCTCGTTGTCGTGATGGATCGTTCTTTCCTTCGCGATGGATGGGAAAGGAGTGAAAGACAAAAAACGTGAGCAACACATCGATGAGTGGGGAGAGGGAGACCGATGTGCATGCAATGGATCTCATTTCGCAACTGGAATTGGGCCCGTATGACCTCACTCGAGTTCCATTTGCATATTTTACCCCCTTAAGGGTCCAGTTCGTTCCACCGCCCTTTCTCTTTTTTTTTCTTTTTCACCCCCCGCCTTCTCTTTCCCGCCGTTCGTCTTCGAACGGCGCGAGACTTCTTTCTAAAACCAAATAGAATGAATCTTCATTTAAGACGATTTGTTATGCATATGGGAGTTTTCTCCGGATTTTGTGGGTCAAGGCCTTTCACTGAGAAAGGGCCCTATCGCGAAATCGAAAGACGAGGGAGTTCCCTAAATTGTTGGTTCAAGGTGCTTCCAGTTCTAATGCGCGTTTCCTCCCTTTCGCCGGTGATGAGATGCATTCGAAGTCGACTGGCAACTTTTTCCTTCAAGTTTCGCGGTCACCGCCAATTCTTGCGAATCTCCTTGCTGCCTAGTGGATTTTTTTTTCATATCGGAAATTGAAACAATGGAAGTGATCTAAGTCCGTCTGTTAACAAAGTAAAAAATCTGTAAAAAAAAAAAAAAAATGAGAGCCACCACCACATTTGAACACACTTTGCTGGCATTTCACCGCTTGCGAAAAGGAAGAAGCGTTCATCATTACTAAAACTTCCTTCGGCCTCTATTTGAAAGCCCCTCGTAATCTTAAAAAAGAATGAAGCTTCACTCCACGTCCGAACGTAATATTATCGCGCCTCTTCCGCTAAGAAAGAATACGTGTTTATATAACGATGACGATGAGTAAACTCGTTGAGAGTTCTTAGCATGATTATCTTCTCGAATGTGTACCTCCGCGAGGAGCCCTACCCCCGAACGACGGAAAGAGGCCCACGTCACGAGTTTCGGCCTCCACGAGATGGACCTTGACCTTAACGAGCATCCCCGAGTTGAACGATGACGAGCAGATGCATTCCTCGGGCACGATTCGAGGCGAGTGGTATGGGCGGAGATTACAGACCGAGAACGTAATCGGCTTAGATATCCGGGGGAAAATAAATTCCCTCCGTTTTGGGATCGGAAGACCGCTAATGAACCTCTTCCGAACCCCATTAATAATATTTCGCCATGCTCCTTCGAGCTGGGGGTTTCCATTCCGTTGTCCCCTATCGGTCCCCCGTCCTCCGACGCGTTCGTGTGGGACGAAAAATTCAGTACTACTTCGCGTGGGAAGATAAATAATGAGGGAGGGAATTGATGACGGGATTCCCTCGGGAGGAATCTGACAGCTTATCATCGCCTCCATCGTATGTTCTCTGATTTTCTATTTATTTTTTTTGCTCTCTCGCTTTCGGCCCACCTCGCTTCGATCGAGGGGGATTCGGGTCGCAACGAGACCGTGACGGTGCGGAAGGAAAAAAAAATAAAGGAGAGAAAACGAAAGCGAGAGATCTCTATCGCCGTTTTTCGCTTCAGGGAGATCAATCCGGGAAAGAAAAAAATCCGCTTTCTCCAAGAGATCCGCGAGTGGAATTCGGCCTTTTCCGACCTGGTTCCCGAAAACACTCGAGTTCTCTCTACAAGGGGTCTCTTCGAAAGAGACGCAAAATGATGACGTATCGCGCCTTTCTGGGCCAACATCTGGGGTGTCGTATCCATCATCACCTCTTTCTCCTGCCACTTTAAAAATCACGACTTCATGGGAGAGATTGAAAGAGTCAGCCGTAAGCTCAATCCTTATCGGTGGCGTATTTGCATACAGGGGGCAGAGGGGGCAGAGGGGGCGGCCCCCCCCCCCCCCCCCCCCCCCCCCCCCCCCCCCACAGGGGGGGCGGGGGGGGGGGCCCCCCCCCCCCCCCCCACCGCTCTCGTAACCCTTGAATGCATCTTAGAAACCCCTCTCAAGTATGTTGTATCTGTCTTGAAGAACCCTATGGGGTTGGCAACCGTGAAAGTAAATTGTTTAGGCATACGAAGAGTGAGGCCTCACACAGTATTCAGCGGAAGTGTGTAAGAAATAATATTCTCGTAATTTCCACCGTATATTTAGCTGAGATTAGATGAGAGTATTTTGTTGCCGTTCGTAGAAGACGGTTCCCGACTAGATTTCTCATTTCTTGCTTCGATTCGATCTAAGCGAGAAAGATAAAGCTCCGAATTCGAAGTTTGTTGCATACGTATTCAGTGCCTACGGCAATGTAGGGTAAAAGACCCAGTGATGGGCCTGTGAAGGGCGGGTACTCAGTGATGGGCCAGTGAAGGGCGGGTACTCAGTGATGGGCCAGTGAAGGGCGGGTACTCAGTGATGGGCCATGTAGCAGGAAAATTCCAAAAATTAGGCATTTGTTCCATGAATACCTCTGAAGTGTGTATGTGCTCGAATGCAGCTAGCCTATGTCACAACAGGGGTAGGCATGTTATGGAAGCTTAGCCGTTGGAATTTTTATGCGCTGTGGCCCATCACTGGGGACCGGTCCATCACCGGGTCTTTTACCCCTACTTCATTCGTGTAAGAACTGGTCTCGTGAAATTTCTCTCCTCTTTGCTCAAGGTGATCCATGAATGAGGTGCGTTTCGATCATAGCTAGGAATCGCATCCATGACTCGGCGGCAAGACATTCCGAGTATTCCTTTCTGATTTTCCTGCGAAGCAAGTAATTGCCTCCTGCTCTCGGTATGGCACTCGAAGAGCTCCGATCTCGTCGCCACTTCGAGCACCGTGTGGAGGAACTTTAACGAGAGCTTCCCGAGAATGCGAAAAAACGTTCAGACGATGTTATTCTCTTAACGCGAATGGGAAATGCATCCCTTGCGCGACGGAAGAACCGAAACGCAAGAGCTGCAATGCGTGTTCCACAGATCTTTCCTTCGGCTTCCGAACGCGGCCGGAACGCATTTCCTTCCTAGAGCACCCCGAGCATAGAAAGGGAAGTTGAAGTTGCACCTGGGCGCACAAACCATCGCATTCCCCGCCGCGATGGCCCCGATGCTAATTCATGCCACCGGTTCATCGTGCGGTCTCGGTCGGTCTCGTGGTCGAACGCTTTCCCGGGAAACATCTGCTTTCGTGCATCTTTACTGTGATTTCCTCCTACTGTATTTTTTTTTTTTGCATTCGAATGGGACATAAAAGGTGAAATATTGGTCTATTTGAGGAATGCATCCGGAAGAAACTCTGGCGGCCATCGATTCATTTTTTTAAAGTGTCTACTGCGTCCGTGTGGCATCTGCCAACGCCTACTAAGTAGCTTTCGCATTATATGGGACTGGCTCCCCCTTCTTAATTGTCTATCATGGACCACCTCATATCTCGGGGTAATCTCAAAAGGCACACCCGAACCCTGCAAAGAATGAAGTAATTCGTACCGCGATGCCACAGTTCGATAGGTAGGTGGAGTGCGCCACGTCTTTCTTCCGAGACATTCACTCAACTTTTTTCCCTTAATTTGACCTGAATTTCTTCTCGTCCACGCGTGTACTCGAGGACCAAGACGATTTCACGATGGGAGTGGTTACTTCAATCGTTCGAGATGGATGGAATGGAGGAGCATTTTGCTCCTAGTACTGGAAACACTGAAAGTACTATCTCGACAGTTCTTGAACCTCCCGAATTGCGATGCGCACCTTCCATCGGTGGTATCTCATAGTTAGTAGTTTTTTCTTTTAGAGGAGCTATAAGACATATCATAGTTACCAGAACACCATGAAAAAATATCGCGAAGGAGTACGGTCGAGCCATAGCAAGTACTAGGAGGTTACGCACGAAATTAAGGGGAGTGAGACTCCCGAGATGTATCGGCTATGGGATCACTCGCATCGAAGAGGCACCGTATGTAAAGGACAAGGTTGTGCCCTTTATTCTCGAGCTAATCGGGCACACGGAGAAGTCTATTCGTTGACGTATCCGATCGTAGGAGGATGGATGACTGAGACGGACAGACCTCTGATGAGACGGTCAAAGTTTTTCAGTTTCGTTCTGGATCGGGAGAAGCTCCGATTCCTCGTGGGCCTTCCTTCGAGTGCTTCGTCTTCCATCACGGTCATCGTAATCTCGGCGACGAGACACGTGTGTGGTGTCGGCACGGAAGGCAGAGAAGAGACTGACCGGACTCGGGCCCCCTGCAACTTTCTCTCGAAAACATCCCCTGGGCATCGGCCGTCTCGTTCGCTATGGAGGGCACGACCGACCTTTATAGCTTTCCCTCGTACCTCTACCCCCTTCACCTTCGTCGACGGCAGCGGTAGCAGCAGCGGCTTCCCAAACACATGCTCGTCGGTGGTTTGGTTTATTTCCATCAGTTTCTCGGATATTCACAGATTCCGGGTGGAGAGAGAGATTTTTAGAAGAACCAGACGCGACGTAAACGGCCTGGATCAGTTTAACACGTGCACGAAGACATGACAGGTTTTTCAATCGTCTCGATTCAATCATATACATACGTACGATTTTCTGCCTTGGCATTCGGAAGCACGAGCAGGCGATGAAAATGGTGCAAATGGTGGTCTGCGGACGGAACGAGTGGAAAACGTAGAAATTGCAAGACGGCAGAGTCTGAATCAAGGCAAAATCGTGCCCCTCCTTCGCCCTGACCTATTTTTGTACAGGGTCTAAGGCATTGTTATTATCCCATCTATTCGTCTCGCGGTCACCCTCTTGGCGAAAGAAAAATCGCCGATAATCGAAGGCTAGGGCATTCGAAATTTGAAATTCTCTCTTAGGACGGAGAAAAGGGAAAGCGAAATCAGAACCCCCTCACCTCTTCGCATTCGAACAAGTAGAGAATGAGAAATGAGGGGAAGAGGTGTGTCATGCCTCGCTCCAGGCTGGAGTCACCTCTAAATCTAGGACTACCCCACTCCATTCATTCTCGCTTTTGCGCAATCCTGGGACACGTGTGTCAGAATTTCAGTGGATCATTAGGAGAGAAATCAGACCTCACAGCGAGGAGGGCTTGGAGATGCCCCTTCCATCGCGACTCCATCTATCCCTTTTTAAATTTCCTATAAACTTTAAAGGTATTCGAATGGTGAATCCCGAAGCAATGCTAATATCTAAAATGGCGAATAATTTCAAGAAGCATGCGATGAACACGGCAAATAAATCTTTCAGTCCATTACAATTAATTTTGATTTAAAGTATGCGGATAGCACGAACTACTGGGTAGCGCATAAAAAATGCGCCAAGATTTTTGCGTTTTTTTTTCTCAACTTCCAGATCAAGCTTACAAATCATACCAAGTTTACATCTTCCCTCTCGGCCCCATGAAAGCTGAGTTTCTAGCTAGCAGAGTGCACCCACAGCGACTGTTCGACTGAGACTCCTAAAAAATTTAATGTCACGTATAGTTCGGAAGGAGGGGTGGGCTACTTCACAAGCGCAGTATTTAAATCAGGCTCAAGTCATTCTTGGCGCCAAAATCTAGCTGGTGAGTCGAGTGATCATAGATTGACCACTCCATTGCAGAACAGAGTCAATATTCAACAGACCTGGGATGAGATCATCTTGGATGAGATCCGTAAGTCCATCGCTTAATGAAAAGCGAGATTACGTACCGTATGCAAAACCAAACGAGGACTCACTTCGCATCTTCTCAGATAAGATGAAGCGTGATACCAAATTTTTCGAGGTACCTTAGTTCAACAGCTGTTGTGTGTGTGCTCTGGTAGCTAGAACCGCATAGTTTTCATGGAGCCGAGAGGGAAGATAAATGTATACTTGGTATGATGTGTATGCCTCAGCCTCATCTGGAAGTTGAGAGATAAGCTTAAATCTCGGCGCGCTCTTTATGCGACACCCGGTATTATAGCGTTTCACGAATCCTGCTTCGGGACTGAAGTACATCGCAAATCATGGACGATCCATGCAATCCTTGCCATCATGTGCACCTCAAGAACATACGTGAAACCCCTCATACTTGAAGCTTCCGTACCATCGTTTAAGCCGAAATTAAATGCTTATGTGACAAGCAACGCGATAATTTTCAATCAAAGCGATTTATTCGTCCAGCCGGTAGTAGCAGATGACAACTCTTACCGTCGGTGATTTTTTCTCCTGTTAAGCCTCAAATGTATGGGTTTGAGTATGGAAGCATTAACCATTGTCTTCAGAAGGTATGTAATTGAATCGACTTGAATGGGACGAGAAGTGCTCAAGAAGCGAGCCAAGGTCTTCCAGTAGTTCGTAGAATTGAGTAAGATGATTTCTGTGGACTGAATGCTTCGTCGATCCGTTGGCACAATTCATTCGCGTTCAGCAAAATAATAATACTAAAATGATGATACAAACGTATTGCACAAGTTCAGGGTCTTCAATATTCCTCTGGAATAAAATTTCCTCGCATGATGACAAGAATGACAACACTGCGATCGCCTCAGGTGTTTTATTCCATAAATTCCATATAATGCATCACGGAAAAGAGTTCCTAAGGCTGCAGCAGCACAAGCGAAACTTTTTTGGACTTACACGTTCTCACTTTGGCTCGGTATATCACGTCGATCCTCACAATGGATTGCAAGAACAGCCTCACGCAGTCTTGAGAGATCATCTCTCCTTTTTTGTTGGAACTGATTGTTGGAACTGAAGGATAGGATACATTGCATCACATCCGAACGACCGTTCCCCACCTGGTACATCGCATGATTCGATAGTGGAATGCATGCGATGAGGCTTCTTCCCCATATCGAGAATGCCAATGGCACAATAGGTAATCCCGAATTTGTAGGCGTAAATGAAGTGTACGGATGGAGTATGCGGTAGGCGTTAGGAGGCATACCACCTCTTGAAGCGCTGGACTGCTCTCATCCAGGAAGGGAGAAGTTCTTCCTTGTATTCCTTGCCTCTTGTGGAATCCGGCTTGAACTCCTTCTCCCAGTGGACCAACCCCTTCACTTCTTCCTTCGACTTCCACAACCCTACACGAGGACCGCATGGATCACTACCTCTGAACAGAGAGAACGTCGAAGGCTGAGGGTATACAAGCCTGTACCGGTTTGAAGTCCGACGAGGAAGGCGGTGCCGAGGGCAGTGGTATCTTGATTCTCTCCCCGGATCAACTTCTGCCCTGACAGATCCGCCACCAGCTGGAGCAGAAAGTCGTTCCGACTCACTCCTCCATCCACCCTATAGAAAAAAATCTCGGAGTTGAGGATCTTCCCGTCCAGTGTTACGAGGACTAGCGTAAAAGACCCAGTGATGGACCTCTTAAGGGCGGGTACTTAGTGATGGGCCACGTAGCAGGAAAATTCCAAAAATTAGGCAGTTGTTCCATGAACACTTCTGATGTGTATATGAGCTTGAATGCCGCAAACCTATGTCACAACAGGGGTAGGCGTGCAATGGAAGCTTAGCTGTTGGAATTTTTATGTGCTGTGGTCCATCACTGGGGACCGGTCCATCACTGGGTCTTTCACCCTATATCGTGTTAGAGACGGTAGGAGACGGAGAGGCATTCGCGAAGCACGTGACCGACCAACCAGCCACTAATGCCTCTCGAGTCTCCTGCGCACTGGTTTCACTCCCACTTCAAATTTAACTCTTTCTTTTACGATTGAACATTTTCAATAGGAGTACTAATAGCCCAGTAGGAGTACTAATCCTACCTCTGAGTCGGATTTTCATGTCCAGTTCTGATATTCCTAAAAATCATACTTGAAACATGCACAAGGGTAAAACCGCCCTAACCCTTTAGTTTCGACGAGGCGCAGGGAGAAAAAGTAGTGGGTGAGAATCACGGTGAAGTTCACTCGGGGGCAGTAGAACGGCGAGTCTGGTTCCAATGGCAACGATTGCTTTCCAGTCTAGGTCGACTGGAAAGCAATCGGAGTCTAATGTTTTATCCCGAATGGAATTCCAGAGGAGAAGGGAACCTTTTTAGTACTTGTCATTCTCCTTTCTGTAGTAGAACGTAAAAGAACTCCGTGTTCCCATTTCCAGGTCATAAGCATTCCCGGCAAATTGGGTTTCCCTCGTAAAGGATTACAATAATAGGTGCCCCTTCCCCCTGCAACGATTGTTGCAGGGGGAAGGGGCACCTATTACAGGGAAAGCAACGTGGTTAAAGTTCGTTGCACACGAGTCGATTTTTTTCGTTTCACCTACTCCTCGTCGTAATTTAAATTCAAATAGGAGTGAGCCCATGGTCTGTGTCCGAAAACTGGCGAACTCTCATCCTCCAGGATCACATCGCTGAGTACGCCCTTCTACAGCAGCCTTCCTTGCGAAGGAAATCCGCTTCAATAGAAGATTGTTAAACCCCAGGATTTTTTTTCACGCCGCCAAAGGCATCGTTTAACACGGAAAAGAGGGAGGAGCAGAAGTGAGAGAATTCCTTTTTTTGCTCATTGGGATTCTCAATCTATGCGATCGCTTTCGCCTTCGTCAGAATGAAGCAAGTTGACGAGATGGATCGTAACGAAAGGAATCACCTGAGATCGTTAAGGTCGTAATCCGTCTCGTCGAGCATGCACTGAAAGAGGAGCTGAATGCGGAAGGCAAGGCTCTCCATCATGGCCCTGACCAGGTGACCTTTCTCCGTGATGGACCTGACTCCCAGGAATCCGGTCGCTGCCAAGTCGTCGTTGAGCGGCGCCTGAAGCCCCGAGAAGGCAGGGACGAAGTGGAGTCCGTGATTCGGACCAACTTGTTCGCACAGGGAATGGATCTCCCTCGGATCGGACACGATCCCGGCCTTCAGGGCCCAATTTACCACGGACCCCACGTCCTTCACCAGGCCTTCCGCCATGTACGTCGTCTCCGAACCTAGGACGGTTCAAACGAGTTCAAGAGTTCCACCATCAAACGCATTATTTAGAACTTCTCTTTCCGTCTGGACCCTTGGCAACGGCCTAGCCAGGGTGCGACTTGAGGGCATCAATCAGAAGAGTCTTAACTTCCCTAAACTTATGGCAATTATTATTTTTTTCTCCCTGGTCATCTATTTTGCAAGATCGGGTGGGGGAATAGCAGCAGTGACTGATGAATCCCAGCCCATATGTGAGCGGAGGGCAGAGGGTCGCTCTTGCGAACTCCTACGATCGCGGCATCGGCAAAAAAAAGCATGCCCATGGCTAAGACGAGAGACACCGAAAGATTCGGCTTTCGTTTGTGACAATCGTTGAGGGCCGTTTCAATCGTCGGCTGACTTCAACCCCTCCCCTCTTTCCCCCTCCCCCCCCCCCCGACCACGCCATCAGTATTTAACCCTTTTAGTGCCGTAGACCGCTTTTTCGACCACGTGTACTTCTGCTAAAAGTGCCAAAGGCCGACTTTTTGGCCACGGCTTTTCGTCAGGCTTCTTTCTTCACGTAGTTGGGGTTTTTGTTGCTATATTGCATAAAAATCGGCCAACAGTCTTTTTGGGAGTATTAGACATGGCCGAAAAATCGGACGCGAGGCACTAAAAGGGTTAAACTCGTCAATCCTTTCCGGAGCATCGATACAGTATCCAGAAAATAGTTTTATTTTATTTTTATTTTTTTTTTTTTACGAGAAAGCGCTTTCTGAGTGCAATTTGAACGAAATAATGGCGTCAAATGATGTCTATACGTGTTGTCTTCAAGTTTCCTGACATCTCCGTGGAAAATTGGAACGAATCGTGAAATAATGCTGACCAGAAAATTTTTAGAAAATAAGCAAATTACTAGTACCAAACTGGCAAAAGGTGAAAACATCTCAGTAAGATGTACGAGTATTATCACCTTTTACATTTCCAACTTTTCGTCTGCGACTTTTCATCGCAAGAGGAAGGAACCAGATGGCGAATGTCGCTACAGGCGAAAGGCATAAATGTCTTAAAAGGCACTTCGTCTAATTCTAGAGTTAATGATCCATCAGGAATGAATCGGAGAAAGAAGGTGAACATCACCTGGTCCTACATCGATATGCGTACGTACATGTGGCAAGATAATTGCATTCTTTTATTCCAGTCCATTTCTCGTATCAACACTAGTGTCATCACTGCGTTCGGTTGTAAAGGTAGAAAGGAGAAAGGCTGTCGTCGGAAGCAGTGTTGTTAACTTCACCTGCTTCACTGAAGGCCCGATAAGGAGCTATTCATTGCTTGTACGTGACACCGAGTCATCGCGAGTGCTCATCTTAATAACAGGAGTACCCGGTCGACATTTTTCAGCGGGTCATCGATGAATTATAGTTGGCTCGTGCACGAGCCATGCCTCGGCTATCACTGGCTCGCAGAAGGCTAACGCCGGCATACAGTCGGGCGCATCCGGTCGATCTTTTATCGAGCAAGCTGTTGCTCAGTCTTGGATTCCTGTACGTGTCCTGAAAATGAGTCAACGATAAGCCGACTCTCCACGAAGCATGGAATCGAACACCCACAAAAAGATTACATTACGGCAGGGGTGTCCAACTCGATCGGGCAGGGAGCCGTATGGAACCTTTCATACATTTCAAATTGTTAGGCGAACAGATTGAAATTCGTCACACTTTTCCGAAACCAACCGTTGAAGAGGTATAGACGGACCGGACCCGGCCGTCAGTTTCACGCCCCTGTACTACGCACCCCGGGGGGAGGCGATGAGGATGAGGCGTTTGACAAAGCTTCCACGCTTCCTACTTCGTTTCTAATACCATTTCGATTAACTCCTCACTTGCTCTATACCTTCATGCCTTTCGTACATCCAAGTGAATTTTATATGCGAGTGATAAATATACTGTCTTCCCTCGAGAAATCTCAGCTCGGCTTGCACCATAGAGTAGAGAGTGCAACTCGAGGCTCCACTCCGCTCGAATCCCATTCATTGACACGGTCGCAATATAGATGTCACTGTCGATCCTCCACCTAGCGTGCGCACAGCAACAACTCCTTCATGGCCGAACAGCGGACTCGACGTGACACGCGTGTTACGTTGCGGGATCCTTTTGGGTCGAATTCCCGAACGAGTCGATTCCCGATTCCGCTGCCACGAAGCACGCCTCAAGGAAGTGCTGTTGATAACAAGCTACCAGATGTCTCTGTAATATTTCGACCCTCCCCTACCCCTCGGAGTGTCGCCTCTAGTTATACTCTATACTCGCACGGATCATAACGCTTGTGCTTGTCTGGGAAAATCTGATGAATAGGAAGTACAGGAAGTCCTCGATTTACATCGTTTCGATTTACGTCGTCTCGATATAACGTCGCTAACACATTAAGGAACAAATTCCCATATACGTTTCGTCGTTCCGATATAATGTCGTAAATCGAGGACTTCCTGTGTATCATTTAGTCCATGGGAAAATAGGTTTCGTTTTACATCGTGTTTTCCGGGAAGCATCCACGTCGTAAATCCAGGACTTACTGTACACGGAGTACCGAATACGTGAATGAGAACACATTAATACACAACAACATACGTGAATGAGTGAAGTGACTAATAGAGCCTTTCTCCCTCCAACCTTCGGGCCAGAATTGTCTGGTGTGTTCCCGAGCTGGGTTACATTTTGAGAAATATGCACTGAGGAATTCCGTTGTCTTCCCCGAAGATCCATGAGAAAATCAATAGGAAATCTATGAAAGGTCCGGGAAACTCGTTTCAGTAGGATGAGAGAATGAACGCTGAGAACGAAGAGAGAACGCTGAAACGACGATTTAAGCGCCATCTCGGGCCGGATTTGGGAACCTTCTTTGTTCAAGTAGCTGTCAGATGGTTCGTTAGCGGCCTCCATATGGCTCAACTTCCGAGTTTCCATGTTGGGCTGGCTGTACACGTGCCGCTGCTGCCATGTTACCCTTCGAAGGGACGAATGTTGGAGCAACTACAGCGCGATGAGCTATGGTGACTACAGTCTCCAGCTATAGTGACCGTAGAACGACGAAAATGCTCGATTCGAGAATTTTCGTGCATCCGAGGAACGGTTGCCGCGCGCTTTTGGCGACGAAAAAATCCGCGCACCGTCGACTGTGGCCATCGCGAACCTCGGAAGTTCCAACCTTGGCAGACGAGTCGTGTCTCCCGTTGCTATCAGCTCTGTCGAATCCGACGGACATTCTCGGATGGAACGAGGTTCCGTGCGATGACAAGTTCGGCTCCGCCAGTCTCCTACGTCGGCGACCCTTCGGAATCTCCACACGGTCAAAGCTTTTCCACTGCCCACGAAGTACCGTGGCCTCAAAGTTCGCCGAACGAGTACCTCTGTTTCATCTGTGGTGACCAGAATGAGAACTCATACGGCTATGTGTAATCTCGGTGTAACGTAGCGTTAGGCTAGATTACTTTAGGTGAGGTCAGGCTAGGCTAAGTATTATAGCACTTGATTTGCAAATCTCAACGTTTTAAAACCTACCTTAACCAGAGTTACTTGGCCTCATCCGGGTTTTAAACCGTTAAGACTTGTTAAACAATCGAAGGCTTACGATATTTGTCAGACTCAAAGTTTCGACAGAGATGTGAATGAAGATGAAGGCAGCATGTACAGGCATCGCTTCGCACCGTTATATCGTTCAATTACGCCGCTGAAAATATTTTCTTTCGAAATTCCTGGCGGTTGTATTATTTTGGAGGGATTGTGCACAACGAGGGCAATATTCATCGCGTAGAATCGGTCGAAAGAAAAAAATATATGAAAACGAATCCTCTGACTTTCCGAAGGCTTTGGCCCCATCACATTCTAATGGACACCGCGCGTCAATTTGGTATTCATGCCGAACTGAGGGAACTCCGATGCACACTATCGTAATGGATTCTATGGGAGATCCGAAGGTTCTCTGTATTTTCGAGGGCATCACACACTTCTTCGGCAGCCTAGATAGCCTGCGACGAATCTCAAATCTGCCATGTACACGAGAGAAACGGTTGAAGAACTGAATCGAAACTGAATCCCGATTTAGTTGCCTTGAGCTTAAACGGAAAAGGCATCCGCTTGACACTCGGCTGACTCTAAAATGCGTTCCTATTGCATCTCTCTTCTGCTAGCAGCACCATCGCTGTGCATATCTCAAATACCGAGATGTTTTCAACTTTTCATGGACTTTGAGGTGCGCAATAACTCGTCGCAATACGAAGGGGCCCATGCGACGAGCGAGATATCTCACCTAGCCTCTCCCGTCTGATGAGGTGTACCGATTACTACACTTTGAACATGACGCTAATCCGCAACAAATCCCTGGACGATCTCTTTCGGAAGAGTGGAGACCACTTCAAGGCGTCTCTCGCCGGGTGCATGGTCGATGTCACCGGGACGTGCCCCTTTACCCCCCCCCCCCCCCAATTCTTGTCTAAATACATCCGCCCCCCCCCCCCTCCACGACTAGGAAAAGTAATGGAAATTCTAGCTCCCCACCGTTCCGCTTAGCCCCTCCATTGGCGAAATCCTGGCTACGCCATTGGGCTCACAGGAAAATCATTAGATTACAGCATTATATAGATTCCATGATCATTCATAATAAATGTCAGGAGCGCTGGGGATATTGCCGTCGTCCCTTCGTGACCCACGATACCATAAAATGGCGTCATCCTACTCTCATTCGGAGACAGGCAAATAAGGAAGAGAATAGCGTTATCAATTTCCGTGATAGAAGCATCGCGAAAGCCTATGTTCGTTTCGTATGAAAGCTGAAGCGCGTCGCATGTTACGTTTATGCGACTCCAAGATTGATATTTTGTAATCAAGGACTAAGAATGCCCATGGACTGTGGCAAGGTGGCTGTGCCGCTGCGCAGTGCCCCCCTCCCCCCTCCCAATTCTCCTCCTCCTCCTAGTCCTGGAGGACTTCATGATAGAGGAGCGAGCTGAAGGTGGGTGGGGTTATCACAAACCCCAAGAGCGAGGAAGGTACAAAAGGGGCAGTTTCTACACCGAGCCGCCTCTTTCGGAGAAATTTGACAGAAGAACGCAAATTCTCCTCGTTTTCAAATATGAGGGTGGGGATTGATCCTCCCTCTCCTCCTTCCACCGACTGCGCCGCTGGACTCGATAAGCATATCGTCTGTGCTCTCGTGTCATCTATACTCGAAAAATTCATGCTCACGACTGCAACATGATGCGATTTCTGATTCAGAGAATCAGAAAAGCAACTACTTTTTTCCTTATTCTGACACATCTGTTTTCCTGAGTACTACATGAAATATCCGCATTCGGCTCGGTATGTTGAAAAGGAGCAGACTTATAAGCGTGGCAGGAACACGTGATTTGGCCAACGTGTTTCGATCGGCGGAGGAACGGCGATTTTCGGTCATGGTGTCAAATTTTTCATATCGAACGAGATGACTCCCAATTTTTTCCCTTAAAACTTGCAGTACGAGACAGGATGCCCATAAAACGTACGACACATTACGAATGTACGTGTATACACGACTTCCGATTGTACAAAGATAGAGGATACTGTAAAGCACCTGATGATGAGGATACAATTCAATTTCTTATGCGCCATTGATATTTTCATCGCGAGGAGCACGTGGCACCATTTACGGTGGATGACTCCCAGATGAAAATGAAAACGGTGCTGGTCTGTCTGCGTTCGTTGAAAAATTATTTGCATTCGCTATGTGCCGAAGGTTCTACAGACTTCGATGAAGAGTGGGGAGCAGAAGTAGACCAAAATGCATTGGAGAAAGTTGAACGGAGATGGGAGGGATGAGTCCTGCGTATGACACCCATAGCACCACCGCCATGCATCAGCTAACTCATCAATTCCTACAAGTTCTGGCTTTGGTTGCGAAAAACGTAGGAATCAATTTAAGTCAAATCGTATCCTGGTGAAACCCTTTCCATGTTACTCCGGCCCATTTGGCCTTCCTCTTCGTGCGGTTTCAGTTATGCCAGAAAGCGTTAACACTCGTGGGCAGGAAAACGGCAAAAATTCCAAGCTTTTGCAAGCCAAAATATCTTAGATAAGTTTCCACGAATCCAAGTCATGTTATATAACAGACTGGAAATTTTTTAGTCCAGGCCCTAGTCCTACACTTTACACTGCCCTACTAAACTGTAAAAAAAAATGGTTCGGGTTAGAACCTCTAGATGGTTGTACGCTTTCAAAGCGGTAAGAAGCGCTCGAAAACCATTTAAACTAGTTTTAAACTCTCTTCCAAAGTCATGTGATACTTCTATCCATGAGAACCACTCCGTGGCTCTTGAATTATTTAGGAAGAGGTAGATACGAGTCAATGTATTGTACTATCTAGAACCACTTGCCACTATCTTGTCATTCGTCGAAGCGGTCGTGTGAATGTCCCGGGTCATAGAGTTCATTATCTCCCTTGTAAAAGCCCTGAGATCCTGATGGTTACAAGAATAAAAAGTGTCAGCTTGTGCTTGCTTGGTTCCATAAAAGTTTCACCGAAGAACCAGAAATAGTTCCAATCCGAGCTGTTTTTTACAGGGTTGGCGGATGTGAATGATGACGCGGAAATGTACATTGCAGAAGGAAAGGGAGTGGAGCCCCTCACGGATTCTTCTAAACTGAGCCATCCGGGCTGAACCGGGGTAGGGGAGGGAGGGAAAGAGGAGAAATTCACAGGCTCCATTTGCATGACCCAAATTCAACATTGTCGCCTCCACCACGATGATCCTCGGACGAGGATCCGGTGAAAACCTTGGAATGCTTTTCCTCGCGTCATACATTCTTTTAGGAGCATTCACGAACTGCAGAGTGGCCAACCCGGTAGGGGGGCACAAACGTGTTGAAAAGGGCAGTCTTACTCGAATTGATACCTGCCTACGGATTCAGCTTTTCACGTTTTACGGATTCATGAGCAAGTTTAAGTTCATTTTTGAAGCTGGAAAAAAAATTGCTGCTCGTTTTCTTGGGAATATTTTTTTCAGTCACATGTGTCGCCACACGATGTCCCCTCTGGCGAACCGAAACTCTTTCGAGTTATGAGTTGAATGTGGATAGGAGTGGAGGTGCAATTTACCTATTTTCCAGGCGACGAGAGGGACGATGCCGGAGACAGAGGCATGAGGGACATTCCCCGTGTTTGTATTCAGAAATCCCCCTCACGACAGCACAGATGAGACCGGTGTAAAATTCTGGGTAGGTGTACGCGACGGAGCCGTCGAGCGCGTCAGCGACGGCATTCTTCGACCCCTACATGATGGAGTGGTCTTCGGCCTTGATGAGACTCCTGGGTTTCAAGGACCTCATTCTACCCGAGATACGAGATACGGTCGGAGACTTCGGCTCCACGGCACCGGGAATCTTCCCCTATTCCATCCCCATCGTCTGCCTCGTGAGAGCACTAATTCTAGTTCTTCACCTCGTCCGGCCGACGGGTCGCGGAACCGATAGCAAATTCCGATGAGTATGCTTGCATCGTACCAATCCGCGATCGACCGCTCAACACTCTCAGAAAAGATTGAGCGATTTTCGAGAAAGGGAGCGAAACTGGAGTTAGCGATTGTACTTCCTAAAAACGAGGAAGTACAATCAATAACTACTCCTTTATATGAGCAGAATCCATAACTATTTTTAAGAACGCGAAACGAAGGAGAGAGAGTACTTTTCAAACTACTAGAAAAAGCTAGTGGTTATTCTCAGGAAAGAGAGAGGTGAGCGACTGCACTTCCTTGTTTTTAGGGAGTAAAATCGCTAACTCCAGTTTCAGCTCCCTTTCTCGGAAATCACTCACTCTTTTCTAAGAGTGTACACTGATCTTTCACTCCCTGTCGAGATACTCTGGCGTTCTTACGTCTCGATGGCGACCGTCAGAACCACACACTCTGTTATTTTCGTTCTCGTTTGGAACAGCCCGATTCGTTCGACATCGATTCTCATCGAGCGATTCGTCGGTGAGGACCGATCAAAGAACCAGAATTCCTCGGCACTTAGTGCAATGCACTGAAATGCGAAGTTGCAATACATGGAATCCGCTACTATTCTTTCAGCACTAGCGATTGACGATTTACGCGGCGAGCATAAGTTATCCGGGTTCCCCCCCCCCCCAGCGTACACCTACCCAGAATTTTACACCGGTCTCATCTGTGCTGTCGTGAGGGGGAGAGGAGGCGGGGGAGAGGCGGGGGGGAGAACGTGGAAAAACTCAAGTACCTGTCCGTGAGTAAACTTGTAGAGGATCCACGTTTCCATGGTGCCGAACATGGCCCTCTTCTGCCGTATCGCCTCCTTCAATTTTTCGTTCGTTTTCGCCTCCCAAGACACCCTCAATGACACCTGAAAGAAATACCCGACGTGAACGCTTCTTGCCGGCATTCGTTGCCCCGTCGGAAGAAGGCTCGCCGACAGACGTGAGAGGTGGAGAACTTGAGGACGGCGAGTCCAAGGTATCGATTGTTCCCCGTCGTCCGATGCAGAGTCCACATCAAAGACTTGATCGCCTGCAAACACATCGCACATCCATCGTGAACATCTGCGTCCGAATCGGAACGAAGACGCGGAACATCGAGCACCTTGAAGGTGAAGGACTTATTCCAGTCTCGGACGAATTGTTCCGCCCGAAGATCCTGCCAGGTGATGAGATTATGAAACGGGATTCCAGTGTGCTTATCCCAGGTGATGAAGGTGCTCCTCTGAGTGCAGATGCCCAGGCCTTCCAAGCTCGTCGCATCCGGGGCCAAGCCGGCCTTCTGCACGGCTTCGGGTATGACGGCGAGGATGGAGTTCCACAGGTCGTCCGGATCCATCTCCATGTGACCTGGCTTGGGTGATAACACTTCCACGGGTCGATGGCTCTCTCCGACCAGTTGCGCTCTTTCGTCGAAGACGTGACACCTGATCGACGTCGTTCCCACGTCGAGAGCCGCCACGTACCGCTTCCTCTTTTCGGTCTCCATCTTCGTCCGGTTCCGTCACCCACCTGAGGAAGGGAACAGACGCATCCGATTCCGCCTCGTTTTCTCGGCTTCCAACCGAAATAGCGAAATAGACCGTTTCCGATATCGAATCGCACGTGGCAACGAGAGAGAAGCAGCAATAAAGTAGCGGACGGACTCGGCAGCGCTCGTCGAGACGGAACGAAGAAGAAATTGCTTTTTCAGTCGACTGCATGGAAACGTCGGGGTGTGCCGAAGTCTAAGAGGTCCCCTTTCCCAAGCGGTGTGCTCGACTGCCCGGTCGGCGCCGGCAGAGGGCTTAAGGCCATACAAGTCTGGTTACTTCTGCTGCCGCCTCGGTGGCATCTCGTCTCCACATTACAATCGACAAGAACCACAATTCAATCTTTGACCTACGCACGGTTGGAGCGAAAGTGCACAGGGGTGACTTTCCATGCCTGATTTTCATGACTGATAATCATGTCTGCTTCAACCCTTATAAAGAAAGGGCAAGGTTAACTCTCAGTTTCACAATCCCTCCCTGAGCAACATGGATACTGAAAATGAGTTGGAGTTAATAGGAACTGCAAGGGCCGGAAGGAAGCTGGTTCCGAAGCGATACGCTTATAAATAAGACACTGGAAGTGCGATGAAGCCAAGTGCCGAACAGCGTTATACTGGAAAATCAGCACCAAGTTCTGTGTCTCTTGGCACCACGCTCGTGAAAAGAAGTGGCAAAGGTCATTCGTCAGATTCGTAGCGATGCTCAACACAGCGTACTCAATATAAGAAATGCATGGACTTTAAGGCTCGGATTGACCGTCTCCAGAATCTATTTCTGACAAACGAAATTGATCGGAAAAAAAAGTCTCAGCCCTGTCTAATGCTTCATTTGGGTAGACCATCTGTTCTTTTGGAAGCAGTTTGTTCAGATGCATTTTTTCTAACTGTACGACCTCCGTCTGATTTGCGTACCATCATGGCACGATTGCTTCATTAGATAATAATGATTTGCTTCCCTGAATGACTATTGGAAATTCTGCGTATCTGGAATCCTGCCTCATCTCCCCTCTCTCTGCTATACAGGATGCTCAAAAAGCGACTATATGATGAACATTTTTATATTCTTGAACCATGGGGTTGGAGTTACAGTTTCTATCAACTTCAGGTCATTTTCAGTATCCATGTTGCACAGAGTGGGGAAGTGAAACTGGGAGCTAACCTTGCCTCCCCTTTTAAGTAAAACTGGGAGCTAACCTCGCCTCTCCTTTTTTAAGGGCTGAGGCAGACATGGCTATCAGTCTTGAAAATCGCGTTTTAGAAAGTCGCCCCTGTGCCCTCTCGCCCCATTTATCGAGATGAGATAAATGGAAAAGTCAATTAATTATCTATGCATTAAGTCACGGGGGCGAGAGTGAAAGAAACGGGAAGGGTTCCTCGTGTTCTCACTCTCTCGCTGAGCACCATTTAAGGAAAAAAAAAAGCAGAATGAAGTCCCACGGAAGTTACATGCACTGTCAATTCGCACATCGAACGAGGACCTACGATCGTTACCGGTGCATCGGTCCGGTCGAGAAGCGATTTCGAATGGAGCGATCAGGTTTTGAGAGGAATTCCAAAGAATAGACGCGAAACGAACGGTCGTCCGTGTCTCCGGCAGCAACAACGACGGTTACGGTTTCGACGAAACGGATGGCTTTTGCAAGCAGAGAATGGGTTCGGCGAGATGGACTTTCTTTCGTTTGCGTCTGGGGGGGTCCCTAACGAGTCCACGCACGGGACGAGCAGGCATGCGGTGAAAAACCGGCCGAGAATCCGGCCCGCACAGACGGACGATACGGGGGATCCACCTGCTGGTGGCGGCGGATCGAGTCCTCGATGCTGTCTCAGCCGAGGAGAGATCATTCGCATGCCCTTTCTGCAGAGGGAGCGACGACGAATCCTGCTTCTCATCGTACAGTCACGCTCATGAAGGTAAACGGAAATGATTAGCATCGGAATCGATGAAAACGACGATTCAGCGTCTCGCTGAATTAAGAACGAGGTTGGTTCATTTCCGGGATATTTGCGAGGAAAACGGACGGAAAGCCAGGAGATACTGGAGGAAAGTACTTAGCTAGGGAAGTGTAAAATTAAGAAAAATATTGATGTAACATTTTTTTTATATCTCTACGAAAAGGTCTTGGAGAATCGTCTAGGTTAGGAATCGTGCGATCATCTGCTGATATCTTACTACCTCCCGAGTAGAAAATACTCGTGTCTACAGTCCATTTCAACGTAGTATCACATAGGCGTTCCTCGCTTAGGATTCTGTTCTCGTAATTATGAAGAGACTCGCGTGAAGGGGAGCGATATAACACGAGAGATATCTTTTACTAGGGGGAGAAACCACAGCACAGCGTGGTAAAGCGGGATAAACCGTACACAACCCAGCACTCCGTGACTCGCTTGAGAATGATCCCGCACCGACACGTGATGCAGCCGCACGAAACCTCCTCGCGTACTCGAAAGGACTTCCTCGAGTGTCTGCGCTGTCACCGCGAATCATGCATGATGGGCGCCCGGAGGTCGCACGGACTCCATCGAGATGGAGGCCGCGTCGAGCGTTCTCGACACTTCCACGAGGATAGCCGGAGCGAAATCTCATCTCCCGTCTTCGCCCTGCATTCGCGCTTCCCGGTTCCGAGGAATTAAACGGGGGCAAGGAAACCGGAGGGAACGACTCGATCGGCGAGGAAATGCGTTTCGGAGCGCCCCGTGAACGGATGCCGTAAAAGCGGGCTGGCGTTCCTCTCTCGGCTGGAGGAGCTCCGAGTCGGGTCCCCGAGTTTAAATGCATCTATCTGTACGGAGTAGATTGTTTGTCCTTATCTCTCGAGTTTCCGTGCCTGGAGTGCAGCAGGAGGTAAGCAGGCACGGCAGTTCTCACGACCCTGAAAAATTGTGACACTCGAGGAACGCAAACGATCGGACTCCTCCGAATCTCGGTGAGGCTTCGGAAAAATCTCCCCTTCCGCGATTCGTTCTCGCATTCTTGCGTCGACCTTGGAAGAAACCGAGAGAAGGGAAAGGAAAGAAGAGGACGGTACGATCGGCTCTCGTGGACCGAATACCTTCGCGCTTCGACTCTCATCGCTTATGCCTCCGTCTTTCTCGCACGGATTCGCTCACGACTTCTCGAGGAGGATACGGAACGAACGGGGGCGCGGTGGGCGACCATCCCATCTCTCTCCGCTCCGTTCCGAGATCGACAAAGGAAGAGAGAAGACGATGGAAATCGGACTGCAGACGTTCGTCCGACTCGCGTCCCGGTGACGACGGTTTTTCGGTGAAGGAGGGGCACACGCCTCGGGTAAACGACTCACCCGAAAAATACGTTCCGGTTTTAGGCTTCCTTCTCCTGAGACGATCGAAACGGAAACGATGGAGCTCTCGCGCTGCGCCACCTCGTCCATCCGAGGTCGGTGGAAAGAGCCGAGAACACTTCCAGGATTTTCCGCCCGGTCGCTCGTCGTACGATGGGGTTTCTTCCGCGCAAGCCGCTTCTCGAAACCCATCGAGCACTCGTTTTCGGTCTTCGAGTTGCAATCGCGAGAGATTCGGATCTCTACGGATGTGTACCTCTAGCAGAGGGATGCTTCGGTTCTTTAGGGATCCCTTCGTTCCGATAGTTCCCCTAAGGCAGGGGTCGGGAGCCTTTTGGCCGTGTGAGCCGTATCAAGATTGAGCCAAGTGCTCGTAAGTCAAAGATTTTCAGAACAACAGAATTTTTCAGTTGGCAACAGACTTGTGCATTTGAAACGTGAGAAAAATGAGGAACAGCCATGATTCTTAGCCATGACTCATGAGCAAAACTTCTCGACTCGTGAGCATGGGCAGCGATTCATAGGGGCTCAGGGGGCTCGAGTCCCCCAAAAGTTTGGCAGAAGAATAAGGAATACTTGGAGTACTGCCTCTGAGCCCCCCAAAATTTCTCAACAAATCGCCTCCTATGCTCGTGAGCCAAATTTGGCTTACGAGCCATAGGTTCCCGACCCCTGCGACCAAGTTAGAGATGCTTAGAAAAGGAGGTCTTTTGTGTGTCCGTGAAGAATGGACACCCCTCCCCCTCATCACCTCTGGTGTCACTCTCACTACCCCTAGTGTCACCCTCACCACCGCAGGTATCACCTCGCTTCTCGACGGTCCGAGGGAGAACTCGGCTCTTTGGGATAAGTCATGCCCCGTTTCCGGATTCCGCAGCAGTTTAACTCGAATGCGATGCACACCGTGATCGGAGCAGTGCGCACGGGAATTCGGCACGTCTTTCGGCGAGGAATCCAAACTTTCCGCTCTCGTCCATGCTTCTGACGATCGATATGGAAAAATTAGAGCCGCGGAAAGGGGGAAAACTTTCACGAGGAAAAAACACCGTCGAGAAGCCTGCAGATGTGGAACGAGTCTGAGATTCTCCACGGGTCGAATAGAAATTCCTCAACGAGTGGAGAAAGATATGCCGAAAAAGGAGAAAACCGTAATGAAAAAATGTAGGACACAGGAGCAATTAGGATAGGAGTCTATTCCTCTCGTCTTTGAGGGAGTCCCTTGTTCTTCGGCGGTCGTCTGGCATGGCAAGCAGGGACTCTCGCGAAGTCGAGAGGCATGCGACGATCAGGGATCGTCTCGCATGCTATCGGATGACTATCGTAAACGGTCCCCGAGTGAGCGGAGGGAGCGTGGCGGAAACAGGACGTCGGCTTGGAGATGCATGCCCGTCTGTTATCTGTCTCCGAGAGTCGAAGGACCACGAAGGACCACGAAGGACCACGAAGGACCACGAAGGACGGCCCGATCCGGTCCGACGATACGAAAACTCCGTGCTCCTCGGAATTGCAATTCGTGCCCCCAGCGTTCGTACCGGTCGACGTTGCGAAGACCCTCTCGTGGGTGCGTCACCCGACTCGGAAGAGTTTCTCTTGCGAAAGAGAATTCATTTCGTACGTGGAGATGCGACGGAGGGAAATCTT